AAGTTGAGACAGACATTAAAGCACGTGTGCAAGATCACATAGCTAGTAGATGGTGGAGCACGTTTTGAAAAGCCTTCATGGCTCTACATTAGACCTCTTTACTTTGCCCCAGAACTGACGCAGATTTCTTCTGGCTCAATTATACTTTCCCACACTTTCATTGTTTTAAAATAATTCTTCACCCATTGTCTTAACATCATAAAATCATATTTCAGCTTACCTTATCCCGCTATGATATGTCAATAATCATGGATACTTTTGCACACAAACATAAGTTTTAAATGAAATAAATCTCACTGGCTCCTTTACTTCATGAGAAATTACATAAATGAAGATAATTCACCTTCTTCGTTATTGGTGGATATTGCCACTCACCCTGGGCTTGTGGCTGAAAACAGAGCTAATCTATTCTTTACAAGCTAGAGTTTTGAGAACCGGAGGCTCAGGCATATTGGCATTTACATTTACCTTCAGTGGTGACTCATCGGATTCCAATGAAGGAGTCCCAAAAGCCAAACAGCTCAAGGAGAAGATGACCTATCCAAAGATCACTATCTGACTAGTGAGACTAATTTAGCCTCTTTATGGTGGAAGTTGTGAATTGTTCAGAAGTTTTCTAAAGCACACCATGTCACTGGCTCAACTTTCCTGGCTGCCAAATTGGAGGAGACAAAAGAGATGGCATGCTCCTGATAAACATTTCTGCAGCTGTTGAAAAGGTCAAGTGGTTTAGCAAGTTCTTGTCTAAGAACAACTGCCTCCCAATCTTCAGGATCACTCTGTCTCACAGAAAAATTGACTGCCTTGACCAGAGCTAACCATTCTTAAGCAAGGAGCAGTAGGGTCTGAGTCAGCTCCTGGTCCTTCCTGGAGGACTGAAAGACACCCCCTGCCAAGGAAGTTTCTGTTAGTGCAAGGAAACCCAAGGTGATACTGAAGAGCAGATAATACCCAGAAGTCACAGAATTTTGAAGAAGTGGGAGTAGAGTTCTTTTAGGTCTTTCTTTAAGCTTCATGGTTAGCACCTCCTACAACTACTTTGGTACAAAGTCTACACAATGCTCTACATCTCTTAAACAGCATGTCAATTGAAATCGATAAAATAATTTTATCTGTAAGAGGTCTAAATGTATTCCAAATATTTGTCTTAATAATCTTATGATGAAGAAAAAGAAAGAGAAGATGAGAGAGAGAGAGAGAGAGAGAGAGAGAGAGAGAGAGCTACATTGAACTGAATACCAGAGTGCTGATACGTTTAAATATACTTTAACATTCATATCCCTCTGTCTAATCCCTTCCAGAGGTACCGTCTCTTTGCTTTTTTTTTTTTTTTTCTGTTGGATCAAACTCACTACTAAATGCTTGCCATGCAGGTGCTGTGCTGTTGTATTATATCCCCAGCCCATCTTTGTCATATGGAGTAAATATCAAAAGTAGAATAGTGACATTTGAGGTTCGTACAGTTCAAACCTTTGACACTGGATAACACAAAGAGACTAGTGTGCTTCTAAATCATAGCTTAAATGCACATTATCTAGGGATGGTGCTGAACTCCATATTCTTCTCTGAATTGCTAACAAGCTAAAAGTGGCTTCAGTTACCTTGTAGCATTGATGAGAAAGGGTTCAGAAGGCAAACTCCAGGATGGTACAGAGTTTCTGAAAATTAATGTAGTAATGCCACTAATGCCCATCACTAAATGATTTCTTTTGTTTGGTGCAAAGCACCACAACTAGCTTCACAAAGATTTAGGTGGTCTTATATGTATTCTCACCAGACCAAGTGGAAATTCCTCTTTTGTCTATTATGATATCACACAGTCATTGGCATGCATTTTTTAATTGACACATTGTGATGGATGCATGTTTTATGAATCTAACAATATTAAACAAATAAATTACACTTTTTTCTTTTTAAAAAAACAACTTTTTGCCTCATATATTGATTGTTTCCCCATTCCTATGCTCTTCTGCTTCTTCCTGATCATTTCTTTCTCTATGGTTTGACACTCAGTGGAGTATATATTCCCATTCAGGGAATATACTTGTCGGACTCACATTCCAGTGTGAGCCAACTTCAGCACTGAAAATCCCCACCTTAAGCTTTTGCCAAACAAATCTGCTCTCTCACTGCAAAGCTTGAGAGGGGGAGGGATCACCATGAGAACAAGAGAGAACTGTGCTAGGACAGACAGGTAACTAAAACTGATCCATGCTCAGCCCTGAGAAACAGGGGTGAGGTCCTTTAGTTTTAACATTTCTCTAAAAGGATCAGTCTAGTACATAAAAATTAAATAGATTTATGATAATGATGAAAGACAATAGTCCAAATTTCCACCAATCAGGGAATATTTTATGTATATAAATGTATGTGATGCAAAATTATGTAGCCGCTAAAAATTACACTGTATTAACTGATATGATAAAAGGCCTGGAATATAGTTTGAAAAGTAAGGCCAGTAAACAGTAGCAAATTCCATTAAAGTCTTGTGGGGATGTGAGAGGGAAGGTGACTTGCAAAGGGGAAAATATGGCCCAATACATTTTTTAAATGCATGAGCAATTAATTCAGGATTATAGGTAACATTTTGCTGTATATGTTCTCTGAACGTTCAGAAATGTATTATTTTTAAATTACAAAACAAAGCTATTTCCATTTGTGGAGAAGACACCTACACAGCAAGTATTTATGAACCATGACCATCTGGGGAGGCGGGGAAATACAGACAGGAGTTTTGTGAGTCACCCATGTCAATGTTTAATTCCCTCCTGGGTCCTTTGAGTTCCAACTATGGTTTCGGCATTTGCGGGAGAGTGGCTCACTTACCCTTAGTGGGATAACATTTTCTTTGATCAAAGTTATGTCCTAAATATAATTATGGTTGATAATTAAGTAGAAACTAATTTCATCATTACATTTTTTTCCTCTGCCTTTTGACTATTGATTTTAAAAGAGGGAATAACATTGATTTTTAAAATTTTCTAGCATATTTTAGTTGTGTTGAACTAACCATGCATGATAGCTAGTTTTCAAAGATATGAAAACGCACTTTTCTCAGTATTCACAATGGAAATTATGCTGCATACTTCATTCGAAGCCTTTGCCTGAGCCTCTTGGATCACTAATTTTTGAAGGAAGTCTAACTTCCATGAAGAATTCTGACTACCTCTAAAGAGTCCACACTAACAGAGACAGACAGACAGACAGACAGAGCAACAGGAACAGAGACCCATGTAGCCCCAGACAGTCCATCTGTCCAGCCCAGACACCAGATATAAATTCTGAGAAGCCCTCCAAGATTAACCCAGCCCCCATCTACGTGCAACTTCAAGAGACTCAAACTGAGACCTTTCAGCTGCCCTCAGGGCACCTAAAGGATTGTCAGAAACAGTAATAGACTGTTACAGAGTTTACTGTCTTTCAGTGTATAAACAACATCAAAATGCTTTTGTTATTAATCCAGTTTTCTTTCTCCATTTTTCAACATGAATTTGGTTTCCTACAGTATCTTAGATAAGGACCCATCTTAATGTGGTAGATCAGTGTTAGTCAATATGATAGGTGTCTGAACAAAGAAGGCATTGTAGCAAAGGAAAAATACTTTCAGAACTTAACAAGATCATAAAGTATGAAAAGCAGGAATGGCTGTAGATGAGCAGATAGAAGAGCAACTTCCACATAGGATGCCTGGAAACTTTGTGTATGGCCTCTGTGCCACTCAATCTAAATGTCAGTTTGACTGGCAAGGGTCCTGGGGAGGTGACATGGGCACTGTGCTCATCAGCGGATTAACTGGCTGGTGTTCATAGTGGAATATACTTTTAGGAGAAGGGACACAGTTAGAGGAAGTGGGTCCCTGTGGCCTGGCTTTGAGGTTGTATCTCTTTCTGGCTCTCTTTCTCCTGTCCTTTGCTTTCCAGTCACTGTAAAGCAGAGCCAGCCAATCAAGAGCTGAAACATTGAGGTAAATACCCCATTTCCTTCTTTAAGTTGTGTATGCCAGGTATTCTGTCCCATCAGTGAGAAAACTGGCTAACATATGTTTCCCATACAAATACCTTCACTTCTTTCCTAAACTTAAAACAAGATTCACAGCGACAAGGCAGCCTATCACTTTAAGATGCAGGATTAGAGCAAGCTTAAAACAATCCAATGAAAGATTTCAAAGTCGATAAATGCTTTGTTTTTGGAAAGGCAAGTGATTAATGTAAAAATTGAAGTAAGTCCTCCACCTGGGATTCTAACCCCTGAAATGATGAAAATTTAAGGTGAAAAATCACATGTTTTTAAGGAAGTCTACCCCAGATTGAGCAGCATCAATTTGTTTAAGCAAGAAGCAAAGCAGAGGTGAATGTGTCTTTCCAGGTATAACTGGAAATGTACTCCAACTATCCATGTGAAGTTCCAGGAATTTTCTAAAGTGCATTGATGTGGACACAAGTCAAATAGATTTCAGTGCAAAGGAGAACTCTGCAGTGCAACCACATTTACTTGCACCAGAATATTCTGTCTTCAGACATCTGGACCATGACACTGCCTGATCCTGTAAAGGAATGTCCTAATATTACACCTATATATCCAGGAAAAACTCAGATGACTAGCTTGCTTCATAATTTAGTGTCAGAAACACATGGAAGCCAAAAATGGGTTGGTTTAATCTTTTCATTTCAGACATCTGGATTGTCTTCACCACAAGCCATCTGAGTTTAATAATGAAATCTTAGCCTTCATTTCTATAGGCTGTCTAAAAGGGTATTCAGTCTGAAGTACACTACAGATAAAATGATTTTTTCATGAATCTTTAGGACTGCACTACTGCTGAGTTATGTTTTGTTCTGTTGTTTTTGGAAGTGAGGCGACAGAAACAAGAAGAATAAGGAGGAAGAACAGAGAAAATAGTCCAGGTAACACTTTTATTTGGATGGTCTTTTACTCATCCATATGACATTCCTGGAACATTGGACTTCCATCAGCAACTCAAGGAATATACAGACTTGCTGTACTTTTTAAAATGTCTTTTATTGGTTGTTCAGTTGTTATGAAATCAACACACCATCTCATTCAAGGACACCTTGTTTCTGAATGCTGATGTGGTTTGTCCCAGCTATGAAAATCACACCAAGCACTTTAATAGAAAGAGGTGGTTGGGTTTTTGCTTCTTTTTTTTTTTTCTTTGCCCTTATTGCTTTCTTCTCACTAGTGAAACTGTCATCTGAGTCAGTTCATAGATTGACAATACATTGAACACAACACACAAGTTGTAAAGCTGTACATCCATATACATACAAACATCTGGGAACCAGTTACAGTGTCAGCAGCTAGTTCTTTCCTCCTCAGCAGCAGTATGAAGCTGAAGAATAATCCTGAGATAGGAAATCAAAGCAAATGCTCCTCACCATCAGAGGGGTTCAAGTTCAACTTAATTTCTCAACTTTGTTTTCCTTTTGAGGGGGTGAATGCGGAGCCACACGAGCCATGTAACCACCATTTGGCTTAAAATCTCAGCCATTTCCTTGCTCAAAAACATGGATTCGAAAAAATATTTCACAGCACATAAGAAACATTCTTTTCAATATGCTTAGAAAAGAGGAGAAAAATGATAAAATTATGCTTTTTATAAGATACTACAATTGAAATCTTATCTATTCACTGATAGCAAACAATCATCCAGATTATGGGGTATGCCCATCAATATGGTATTTACATGAAAGACTGATTTCACAAGAACAAAGACCCATCAGAGGTTGTTCTCCAAATGTTATAAATAAACATGACTTCTTTAAAGCTATGTTATGCCTCAATAAAGTTTATTTCTGGAAGCTCGTAGTATGTAAGCTACATCAATACCAATCCCATGTCCACCCCAAGTCCTGGATAATGCCTAGTCCCTTGGTTTCAGGATTTGAGATAACATCATCATTTTGATAAGCAATAGTTCAAAAGAAAAAGCAAACGAACAAATAAAAATGCACACAACTTGGACAACAGGAAGACTAGGCTAAAATGATAAAGGATAGGGGCAGCCAAGCCAATAGGCAAAAAATCAAAAAAGATGCAACAGTTGTACTTTTGTGAGCAGATAAAAGAGCAACTTTAGGGCTGGGGATTTAGCTCAGAGGCATAAGCGCCTGCCTTGCAAGCAGGCAGTCGTGAGTTCGATCCCCGGTACCAATAAAAATGAAAAAGACAAAAAAAATCTATAAAAAAGACCAAAGAGCAACTTTAAATACAAAAAAAAAAAAGGTACTTTAAATACAATCTTAGAGCTTTACAGAAGTTAGCATTTGACACTTGTAACTTTCCTTTCCCCACACCATGATGGGAGATACTTCCACCTGAAGCTGCCCCACATATTTCCACGCAGGCAAACACAATGTGCAATTTGTATATATGCCTACCCAAACTTCTTCTTTCCCCCTGCAGTTCCTAAGCAAAAAGTTCCCAGAGCCAACAGTTAAATTTAACATTCACTGCAAAGACATGGAAACATTCCACCCACATACATAAACTTCTAATGAATTCCATACTCTACAGTTCAGCCTGCCTCATTCATAAAGAAAAGATACTGCAATCCACAAAGAAGAGATGATTCCAACGAGGGAAGCCTTGTGGTGAGCTGCACATGGCAGGGGAGATGCAGGAGCCCATGAGGGAATCCACACACTAATAATTCTGCTTTTTCAAAATCTCCAGGGACACTAAATTTAAGCACTGAAGATAGGACTTTTGAAGGAAAGGAGTATACAATTTTTCTGGTCTACTTTCAGAATATGTTGAGGACCAAGAAGAGGTAGCAGGCTCCTAAATATTTTATGAAATTATAAGTATTAAGGCATGTTTCCATTGCCCCATAACATTCTTTAGAATGAATATGATTAAAAAGTAAATTTGGGGTACCATATACAAAAACAGTCAGTCATACAAATAGTTAAAAATATATATCATAAAATTCACAGAATGGAAAAAAATCTTAATATATGAAAGCAGCATTTTCATCTATAAAACTGAAGTACAAAGGAAGTTTGGGAAATCCACCTATTCTATTGAAATTCCTGTAATGTTAATTCCACAGAGAAGCTCTATTCAGCATCTCATCAATGTGTCCTCAAAGTATATGGAAAAATGTTCAAGTGTTCAGAGAATTTGAAGCCACATCTGTAAATCTCACTCAGCCAGCTCTCTTCATTTACAATGACCCAATTTGGTGATTCTGTACAGCAAGAGGTAAGTTCTCACTGTGTAAATTAATTACACAAAGAAAATACTTTCCTCTCAAAATACTGTTCTGTTAAAATGTCATTTCAGTTCATGTAGAAAATCCACTCAGAAAAATGTGGGGCAAAAGAGCAAATCAGACAGAGGGATAATATGTGAGACAAACTATCCAAATTTTCAAGTAGCTTTTTAATACAGAGATTAGCCAAGAACAACATACAGGGAGACTTTCTGACAATCAAACGTTCCAACATGGCTCCCAAGAAACACAAGCCATTCCATTTTTTGTGCAAACTTCTATTGATATGGAGAGCCAGGCTCAGTTCCTTAGTCAGTGTCTGAGCCCTACCCCCGCACTCAGTTCCTGACAGATACACCATCTCAGCTGCTCATTTCCAAGGACTATGACAGGTTTCCATTCCTCCAACTATGACCCCTCTGTAAAACCCAGCCGGGGGCAGTGGTTAAGTTCATTTGAGTTCCAGATAGCATTTGGTCTGTGTTGCAATTGCTTAAAGAATTTTTATTTTATTTTCCTATAACCAAATAAACAAAAATTGTGACTCCTTCCTTTGCAACCTTAGAAATTTAAAAATGCTGCGCCCAAAAGCCCAGTCACACTCTCCCTGTCAGTGAGAGAAGAAAGGAGAGTCAGGTTGTGCTCAACTACTTTAGAAAATAACTCATTTAAGGACCTATACTACAAGGCCTTCACATATTGATTTCAGGCACTTACTTTGAAATGATTTCTGCTTAAAAATTAAAATAAAACACTCCTCTCTATTTTAATATCTCAATTCCTTAGCCTTTTTGGTATATTAATTATAGCAAAAGCCCCCACATTCACAGACATGGTTGACTCCAAAGTTTCCCAGATTTGGGGGTTCTTTAAGATATGCAAGTGGTCATTTCATTTCTGAGGTCTCAGGAGCCACAGACTTCCAATTAAATGGAACACTATTGGTAGCCATACATTCTGATTGGAGGTTGACGGGGTTCAGATGAGCAAAGCTGACTTGAACCACATTTCTCTTCTGCTCACAAAAGATCCCCAAAGTACTGAAAATTCAAACTCTTTTCAAGTGATAAACTTGTAAATTATAATTCTATTTCTCACGCAGACATGTAGTATGTTTCTAAAAGCCATCACAGCCTCCTGCATTGTGGGGTGCAAAATGTACCGATCCTTCTCAGAAAACCTTATTTGGGCTTCTTAAAACTGTCACCGGAATTAAAGGTTAGAGAGTTCTGGATTTGTACGCTATTATTGTACTCAAGAAGTAACTGATGGATGAGCTGTATACTCTCAAAATGCTTCAAGCAATTGTTCTTCGTCTCAATCACCTTATCACCTCTCAATGAATGATGTCTCTTGCAGACATCATTGGCTTAAAATGGAGACCCTTTCAAGTCAATGCCATTAGAGAAGCAAAAAGAAATTAACATCACTGTCTGAATCTGTTCATACTTCAATATTTTTTATGTAAAAAAAAGCAGGGTCAGTGTTTTGATGCGTTTCTTCACAGAAGAACATTTCCATAACCTAAGGCCAAGGATATACCTGCCCTTTCATCCTTTTATCAGCTTATTCTTTCATTGCTCTTTGATTTATCTTTTCTCCCAGTCCTCAAACATGATATCACATCACCATTCAGCTTTCATCTCCAAAACCCAGTGATAAACTCTGAAAACAATGCTTACTTGCTTTAAGTATCTCACAGAATCTACTACAATAGGTAATGATCCACGGATGTTAAATATTGCTGCAGAAAAGCACATGCCCAATTTAACTGCTCTTTTGGAAAGGCCAAATGGACGTTCTTACTACAAACACTCATATTTTAATGGGAGTTTTGCTTAAAGGTTCTCTCAGAAATCCCTTACATTTTCAAGAACTGGGGAAATAGTCCATTTAGTCAGATGGTGTACACTTGTCCATTTTATTTTTTGATACATGAAAATGGATATATCAGTTCCTTTTTGCAGAAGTATTAAATCAACTCTGATCTTTGAAAGAATTCTATGAGAAAAAAATACTAAAAACGGTTAATGACTCACTCTAGAACCTCCTTAGGAAATTCTGGTTCCCACATGAAGACACAAGTAAGTGCCTACCCTTGCCCTTGCTTTTCCTGCCAAGCCACAAAGGCCTCATTGCTTGAATGAGACCCTGACTTTCAGAAATGCAAATGTATAAACTCATAAGACCCTGGAGCATGTCAAGACTAACTCTACATAAAAACAAAGGTCTGTTCATACTGACAAGTATAAGAACAAATACAAATTGTTACAATTCAAAAAATTACAATAAGCTTGTGAAACTGTGGTTAAAAAAGAGAACAAATACAATAAAACCTCTCAAAATCTAATTGCAAACTCCCAACAATAAACCCCTTGATGTTCCATTCTAGCGATAATTCAAGTGATGTAAAAATACTGAATGTCCAAGGAATTAAACAGCATATTTTTAAGTTCTATTAATTTGTTTGTGTTAGGAGATGATATTGGCTTCTGAAAACCAAAAATTTCCTATAATGAAATCCTTGACCTTGCTTTGCAACTCTTTTTACTTGGGTTATACTTACTTCAAAAGAGAAAGAAGGTTTTAGAGGAATTTGGCTTGAAAAAGTTTGGGGCAGGAGCTAAAAATCTTCACCCAAGTAAATTTTTGATTTCAAAAGACACCATTTGGAAACATGTAACAGCATAATATTTGCATAACTGTAAATAGCAGTCTAAATTTTCAAAAGAAAGACACATCTTGATAGTCACCAGGAACAGGTGGCAAGTGATGAATTTGATGGGAACGTGCTTCCCTTGGGAGGATAATTTCATGGTGAAAGCTCTAGAATTCAGATTTTGTTTGCCAGGTGAAGAGAAAGCACTCTTCTAGGTAAATTGCAGATCAAGCACTTGTATATGCTTTAAGGACTCTCCAGCTGACATTCAGGGCATTAGGCTGATCATGCAGCAGGAAATGTAATTCTGAAAAACAGACTACAGCTTAAGATGTGCTCTATTCTAGAACAGAAAGGGGGAAACTCAGGTCACTGGCTAAGACTCATCTGCACAGGACTCTGCACAGCTCAGAGGGTGCAATACTGACAGATGTGAGAGTAGTTGTATAGCTGTTCTGGTTCAGTAGAGAAGCAGGAAATGGCTTTGGCACCCAAAAAATCAACCATGGCTGGCAACCCCCCCAAATCACATCACAAGGAGCCATTCTGCAGAGGCCCCTTGAAACAGAAATTTACTGATTGATTTGAAAAGAAGAGTACTTTCCTAACTTCAGAAACAGTGCACAGGGGGTCTGCAAGAGCCTGCAGTCACAGTGAAAATGAGGCGTGCCCTGGACACTGACTCCAAACTACTTTTTGCTTCCTGAAAAAAGCAGACAAATCCACAAGGTGGACACATTTCAAGATATTAAGAACTGGGCTAGAGATTTAGCTCAGCAGCATAAGGGCCTGCCTTGCAAGCGTGCAGTCGTGAGTTCGATCCCTGGTCTGATTTTAAAAAAAAGATATTAAGAACCATATCTATCTTGTACTTCTGTATTTTGTTGACCTAAGACAGGTATTGGCAAACTATGGCCCTTGGGCCAAATCTGGCCTATCAATTGGCTTTGTAAATAAGAGTTGATTAGAATATAGCCGTGTTCATTCATTTACAAATTACTTATGAATGCATTCACAATACAATGGCAGATTTGAGTAGTTGCAACAAATACTGCATAAAACACAAAGTCAAAGAGATTTACTATTTGGCCTGTAACAGAAAATCTGTCAACTCTGATCTAGGATTCATGTCTACATTCTAGAGTTATCTATTGTAGGGTTTATAAGCACAACCCCTCCCAATAAAGAAATGTTTGCAAATTACGTTTTCTGTATAATGTACTCTTTCCTAGGATAAAGTCCTTTCAACAGAGTTTTGAAAGAATCCAGAGTACTCCAAACAAAGTCAAAGGAAAACCAAAGAGTATATCGAGCTCTTTTAACAGTGCTAAAACATACACACACCCCTAGAAAAGATGAACATAAAAGTTTTAGGATATCAATATTTTAGTCATCGGATTTGGTGGCATTCTCTTCTAGATTTCACACTTGCATTTTTCCTTCTGAATATGCAAGTTTTCAGGATCTAAGTGAAAACTGTTCCTTTCATTTGAAAATTGGGTGGGGAAGAAAGTATCATTGAGGTGAAATTTATTATCTTTCATTTGCTAATTCAATAAAAATGGAAGAATCCTTAGACCAGAAAAATCATGTTAAGAAGGCAAAAATGCAAGCACAATAGAAATTTAATTTATTTTGCTAGATCCAAATATCAGCTCTGATGAATTTTATGAATATATGAACCTTACCAACAAGGTCGGTGGGAGTTAAATAGCCAAAAAACAAAAACATATGAGTGAGAAATTAGGAACTAGGTATCCATTGAACTTTTAGGCCAAAGACGAAGTGTTTTTGTTAGAAACTTTTGAGAGAAACAAAATACTTTCTCTGAGCACAGGTAATGAAATTTCTTGTTAGTGTTGGAGCATAAAATATCTCTCTCTTCTGCCTCCTTTGTAGTTATTTACAAAGACGCTACATCAAGTTCACTTGGAGAAATCAGGGATTTCATTTGTTTTGCACTAACCTCCTCTAGTTCTGGGTCTTATAAATATTCCATTTTCTACATTATGACAGTTGGCAATAAGGAATATCAAAGAATGACAGGCTAGCCTTAAAAAATGAATTAGCCAGAAAAATTCAAAAACAATAACAAGACAGAGTGAAATCACATAGAGCATTGAATAACCAAGAATTCAACCTTGAAGGTCAGTAACTATACAGCAAACATCATCATAACATTATATGTCTATGGTCCCAAACTATGTGTACTGAGATATGCTAAGATGTCAATGTAAACTCACAGACACAGGAAGATACTGCAAAGTTTTAAGGGAAACACTATAACATCTGAAGGACAGGAGACAAAATGCTACTATTAAACTCTGTGAACTTAATTCCCTGATACATTGAACTATTAAATATTTTGGCCTAGGGCACCATGGAAAAAATTATTATTTTTTCCAACTAATGGCACCGTAAACAGAGAAAGTCTGGAAACCTCTGCCATATACTGGATAATTTCTGTTAGGTTTGGAGGATATGTAGGAACTCTAAAATACAAACAATTTTGAGCTATACCAGACATACTTGTTTCCATTTCAAATGGTCTAACCAAGATAGAAGCTGTTTATTTAACCAATTATTCTGTCTTTCAGCATGACCAAATAGAGTCTTTGAAACAATGGCTTATTCCTCCATCCAAGGTCTTTGATCATGTGTAAAATAAATGACTACATTGATGATTTATCAATATATACATCTAAGCATATATTTTGAGGAGGAAATCATCATTTGAAATTATTTCCTGAACCCACAAAATATTTTGCAAAGATTTGGTGATGATAAAATTTCAACTCTGAGGGCAGATTCAATTTGTAGAAACTTCCAAACACAATTTCCTGCTAAACTGATAAACCAGGCAGTTACGTCAAAATGGACACAAACTACTAAGGACTCCTCTAACAAAAATAAAAACAAACAAGCAAAAAAAGAAACAAACTAACCAAACGAAAGCATACTTCTAACATGATGGTGATACATGTAGGGAAAGAATGGATTTCTGAAAGAGAAGTGGCAAAAATATTTTAGTAAAATTATTTATATAAATATACAATGTTTCAAGGTAGCTTCTCTCAAGAGCAATATTCCATGATACATACACACAGATAGTAATCATCTTCAAAATCCTTCACATTAAGTTCTTGGCACACTTCTTAAATCAACAATATATAGAGAAAAGTGGATATTTTTATAAATATAAAGAAAATTTATACTATGGACAACTATATGATACCAAGTCAAATACATTTGAAAAATAAGCATTATCTCTGACATAGAGCTATGCTGATCTTGTAATACATTGATAGAGCCAGGGCTGACAATCAGGTGGTCCATGGTGGCAGAGAATTAAACACTTCATACATATCTGTCTATATGTACAGGAGACTCTCAACTTACATATAATTTATCTGCCTTGGTTTTTTAAAGTTTACAAGCCAGTAACATAATTCCTTAGAAACAAAACCATGCTCTAAAATTTGGATTTCTAAGGCTATCAAGCCATCATATCTTGGTAGACAAGATACTTACTTAGTCATCAAGTAAATAATTGTTTCTCTGGGGAAAAGGTATTTCAATTTTCCAATCAGTGATCCCAGTAACATGCCCTCCCTGATAGTGATAAAGATATTGCAAAAGAAATAGGAGCTCTTGTTCTTCTACAATCACTTATTGTTCTCCGCAAATATTTGAAAGAAAGTAATTTCCAGTCAGTTCTGTCCTTAAAAAGTCCAATGCAATGCTATCATTTCAGAATCATATGAGGATTGTTTTTTCTTAAAAAAAAAAGTACCACTTTCTAGACCGCAGCCTGATGGAAAGTCTCCAGTGGTTAAGGCTTTGATGTTAGGAGTGTTCACAGACTCTTTAGATGCTTCCAAAGCGCACCAGGGTTGAGAACCTTAGACCAACTTATTCCCTACTATGGACTCTTCTACAAGTTCCAGCCCTGCATTTACCAGCTAAATAGACACACCAATAAAAAATGCACTTTTCCTTAAGAATGTTTCAAAGTACATAAACAGGTAGGAATAATCTGACTCAGACAAAAAGGATTATTTACTTTAATAGTTTAAATAGATCTATAATGGATTGACCATAGATTTTTCTCCCAATACTTTCTGTTTTCAGAAAATGAGTAAATAGAGCGGGAATAAGGTTGTAACTTTTCCTGATCTCAAAGAGAGAAACTTCCAGATGTAGGAAGGTGGATGAGAAATTACATGGCTATAATCACAAGGTTAGGACCCTCGCTCTGGCTAGAAAAAAATGAAGACAGGACATGAAGCTGCTATTTAATCAAATGTATATTTGTTGGAGTGGCACATGAAAAAATACTCTGTGCAGCCTCAAGAGCAAGACGTCAAGAACAAGACAAGAAAATACAGAGAAAAATATACTACTGCATTTCAAATCTAATAGGAGAAGGAAGGGAAAAGTGAAGGGATCAATGCCTCCACTCTGGAGAACTTGAGGCAAGGAAAGAAATAACGTGGCTTTTTTCCCTTTTTTTAAATAAACCACCTTCATCTTCAGCATAGCCCTGATAAACACTACTGTCAAAAGCAATGATTCCTGGTTATTTAGGACAGGTCTGTATTTCTTCTATCAATCATTTCACTCCTTAATCATAAAAAAAGAAAAATCTTCAAATCAGAGAACCTGTAGTTGTTTTTATCCTCAAGAAAAAATTTGGCTCTGCAATCAACCTGCTAGGAATTTAGTATGGAGTTTGCTACCCTACATTATTGAGGAAAAAACATAGCCTTCACTAATCCTGTGGAAACCTGGCGTCTATTCCTAGAAATTAATTCAACCTTCCTCTTTATCTTTTTATTTTGTCAGAAAACTACTAACTGGCTTTAATTTTCTTCTCTTCCAATCATAGTAAGGCTTTTTCATTGTATGAGAAAACAAACAAAGCAAAAGAGTACACCAATTACAGAGGCAATCCTTGGGGCTTACCCAGTGCAGGAGGGACAAAAGCAGAAGGCATCAATTCGCTCTGTGATTTGCCAGGTAGAACTCAATTTAACACACACACACACACACACACACACACACACAGATATGTGAATATGTGGATAGATATAAAATCACATCACAAATCACTTTCCACTAATACTATACCACAAATGTCAAGAGAACCAAATTTTTTAGTCTTTGAGCTGTGATAAAAGTGATTTTTATGTTTTCCAAAGTTGGGGAAAAAGTAGAAGCAAGATACTTTGACACTTCACTTAAAACACAAGATGATCACCCAGGACTGAGTTAGTTTGTGCGCATGGCTGCAAGCCACAACTAGAAGAGACATTTCACAAGAACTCCTTTTTTGAGATTTTTATAATATTCTTAAAGATGCATATTAAATTATTTCTTCTGGAACACAGACACAATCAAACTTAAAAAATAAAAGCCCTATAAATATCGCTAACCCAATCCTCTTCTGTATCTCCCTTCTTGCATAAAATGGAATCTTTCCAGCCAAGCGCTTAAACATAAATATTAAAATAATAAATGGAACAAACTACAAATCTACTTATAATTTCATCACTACTGTAGCACCTTTTTGCCAGGGCCAACGCATTCATTTTGTAAAGAACAAGAGAAATCTGAGAAGCTTAGGAACTTGTATGGCACATCATTAAATATTTAATCACCTTTTAAAGTCCTAAGCCTTTATCATATTTCATCCATCTAGAGAGTTCATTCTATGCTATAGATTCCAAGACCCCCTTAGGAGGGGGGTAAGAAAAAAAAATAGGGAAAGAAAACCCTCAGGGAGGCAGGGTTAAATGATCTCAAAGATGACTTTCTATTGGCGCTGTAGTGAACTTGCTTCGCCCTGTAAACCCATCAATCCACAGTAGGGTCAATTGATTAAGTCCATTGATTTTTAGTCTCCAAGAATCAGTTTTACAAAAGACGCCACATCTGTTGCTTTGGATTCATGTAGGGTGAAAAATGGATGTTGCTGTGAGAGAAAAGAAAAAACATATGGCATTAATATTTGTCAACGATATCTGAGATCCCCAAATTAATGCATTCATTTAAAATAGATTAATATCTCCATCAGCAGCAAGCTGGACTCCTCTTACCCTTCCAAAATATGCACACAGCTAGGGATGCAGCTATTTTAAAGTTATCTTTTTGCCACTCTTCTCTTTTAGAAAGCCCTAGATTTTTTTATACAAAGAAATTCTTTTGCTTTAAAAAAAAGTATATATGTTATGTAAATCCTATCTGCACTAAAATACAAACATTGGCAAAGACCATGCAAAGCTTTGACATACCCTACAAAGCATTTTATATTACTGTAGGAATAAAATAATTAGAAATTCATTAGATTTAGGCCATTTAATTTCTCAGGAAAAGTGATGGAATAAGATACCAAGTTTGTTGAACAATAAATGTGAAGGAAGGCATCCTTGCCCTTGACATTGAAATAGCTTGTGCGGACTGAAGCATTTAGAGTCATTTTCTAAGTCACAGCCAAGAATTAAGTGTGTCTTGATCCATCTGGAAAATAATGCAGACTACCAAAGTATAGCTATGTGCAGAAGAAATTCAACTCAGAGACTGAAGACTACAAATGGGAAAACTGGTCTTTGTACATGCAGCTCAGAATAAATAAACTTTAAAGAAGGAAATAAGTGTTGCACTTTGCTGGGGGAAAAGGCAAGGTATGATGCAAAAAATCATATATTTCAAAACAATTCAGAAGAACATCAAGTCACTTTTCCTGCATCAAAACAGCATTCCTAAATCACTCAACTGTGTTATAATAAGTACCAAGCTGTTACCTTGGAACCTTGCTCCTATAATTAGAGATACATCCGATCAAAATCCACATTTCTCATACCAAAACCAGAAGCAATCAAACACAAATGGACAATTCCTTCAACTACAATCTGATGCCAAGTACCCTCCTCACCTACCACACCCATGTCCCTGACCCTCTGGTGGTACTATTTTCAAAGAGAACTTGAGCAGTTAAATGCAGGCATTTTTGTAAACAGACATGTAGATGACTCATTCTGTTTCCCTGACCAAAGGGATTTAGTTTACAATCTCATGTTCCCTTGCTGTAGGTTTTCTAATTATATTTGTTTTAAACCTGACAGTAGAGGGCTGGATGAGTCAGCTCCGTGGGGACATGAATTCTCACCCATGAAAGTTTTAAGAAACAATACAATGCAGATAGAACACAGAAATAAAACCCAAAAGAAAGGAGGTGGGCACTGTGAAGGACTATGACTCAGGAAAGGAAAAGTAAGGTTTCTGCACTGCCTTATGTGAGGACACAGGTCGGGTGCTGACTCAGAGCCTTGCACCAAGGACTCGAGCGGAGTTTCTAGAGATAGAGTCCCTCATCCTGGGCTCCTTCAGTTACCAAATAGCACTACTTTTGATTACTAACCACTTAAATAGCACACTTACCAAACGTTTTATCATCATGGTTATTAAGCTTTCCCACATCCTCTTGGAATCTGAGATCTTTTAATGTACTTAAAAGCTTTCTACTATCAAAACAGGACGCACTAAACCTCAGATTATTTTAGAGGCTGCTTCCCATGTCTGGCAGCCCCACTTCGCCTCTTGTTCTGTTGCTGTTAGCTCAGTGGATGTAGGCTGAGTTTATGAATTAATTAAATAACTTGAAGTTTTCAATTAAAAAAATCTTGAGGTACATTTCAGTATATTCCCAGGCTGGAAATATGCAATGAGAGCCAGAAGGCAGGAGGAGGAAAAAGCAGATAGGCAACTCTAAATTCAAAATGTGATTTACCTTCTCCTATAAGTTTTGAGGCTGCAAAAGGCTGAGATGGAAGCCAATCCCCTCTCCAAACTGTGGACTAAGAACAAGGACAGATACCTGGAGGTGACCAGATGAGATGCCCTGAATAATCTTCAGTCCAGGGTTCCAGGCTTTCCAAAGAGGAGTCAGGCACAAGAAAGTAGAACACGAACCACATAGACTCACTGTGAGGCCTGAGGGAAGTGTAGAGATGCACGGACATGCTGCCAGAGGAGAGGGCCAGGCCACAAATACCAACAGGTCTCTGTGGCCCATGTACAACACCTCATCCTTTGAGACTGCAGTGTCCTTTGGGTTCAGATACCCTTGTTTCACACAGCCATTCAATCTAGAACTTCCTAAAATGTTTGAAGAACATTATCACCTCACTTGTAAATCACTTGAATGAGTTGAGTATCACTTTTGGTTGTTGTTATGAAAAGGAGAGGTCAGCAAACTATGGCCCATAAACCACATCGAGCCCATTGCACACTGCCTGATACTACATTTTTATTGGAACATAGACACATATCCACATAGTAAATACAGCTGCTTTCCTACACTACAACAGCAGACTTCAGTAGTGAGCAGAACTGCATGGCTACAAAGCCTAAAACACCATCTAGACCTTTTTTTTTAAGTTGACTTATACCTATTCAAGAAGAACAAATCCTAAAGAATCACTCTTCCCAAAAGAAGTTTGAGAAAATAAGTAAATAAGGCCATCATAAAGCATGTATAGCCATCAATCCTAGGGAGAGAAAAAACTATCTGGGGTAGGGGTACCCATCTGAGATGGAGCCTTAATTATACTGTACTTCATCTGGAAGAAAATGATTTTTTTCCTCCCTACCTTTTTGTAAACTTCTAAACTTTAAACAACAGCTTCTTGGCACATATTTCCCAATACTGAAGTCAGGGAGTTTGGTTCAGATTTTCCATTTAAAAATCTAAATTCTCAGGAAAGCAGGCAATAGTTAGAGTCTTAAAGGACAGGCTCATTTCCAGTACCACAAAGACTAATACCATAAAAGAAGGCAGGGAAAGCCCACACGATCTTACAACAACATTAATATGTATGCCAAAGAAAATCACAGTGCTAAAATATAATGGAAAGGTAGAATTCAACATCGGTCTCCAATGTATAATTTGCATTTTTTTTCTCAAGTATGTTGCAATAAAATTGCTGATGAGGTATCTTAAAGAAAGAAAGAAAGAAAGAAAGAAAGAAAGAAAGAAAGAAAGAAAGAAAGATTTGCATTTTAAATAGCCAGAAATAGAAAACATTTTCTCCGAAATTAATTATGAAACAAGGAGACTTTAAAACAGGATTGCTGACTCCCTAGGATCCCACAGGAATCACTCTATGTCTATTGTACTTTGTATGAAGCAACTTCTTAAACACTGTAGGACAGTGGTGGTGAATCTATGACATCACATCAGGCTATTTGTATCACTGAAAACTCTAAAAGGTTCACCATCACTGCTCCAGGGACTGGAGATGTCCACCAACAAGTAGTAGCCAAGATTGAGAAAGCCTCTGACTAGCTATTTACAAAAATAATAGTCAAGAGGAAATATTCATTCTAAGCATGTAGAATGTAAAGATCTTATCAGGTATTATTGATATGCTTTTCTTTTTAACTATAGATTTTCGGTGAACAAAACTGTTGAGGACTGAGCTCTGGGCACTGCTTTTGCAAAGGAGACAATGGCAGTCCAAGGATATGGCCTTCACTCCAATTCACCCAAATGGAGAGTGGTGAATTTCAGCCAAAGCTTGTCCTCGAGAACCTACAGGCCATATAACTGGTTGCAAGGATCACACACATATCTGATCAACGTTCCACAACTCTTCCTTGCTTGACCTCTCTTTGGTGTCTCACTAACACACACAGTTTAACAGATAGTAGTAACCCATCCTATATCATGACCTGAGCTGTGTGTAAAGAAGCACAGTTCTTGGGTTAGGTGTGACTGGGGCAGGCATTTCATGCTTGTAGCCTAATTGTGCTGTAGTAACTACAACAGCAATGAAAAGGTATCAGTGTTTGGAGATTGCACAAGAATGTAACTTTCCTTCCCTTACTGAAAATAAGACTTTGATCACTGAGACAAATTTGAGACAAATCTAGGGGTGGTTTAACACAAATTCACAGTCTGAATTTTCTAACATCTCCTCTGCCAAAGCGTGTTAATCTCACATTCAACACATAGTTTTAGAGCAAACCATGGTTCATCCATTTTAGGTGCTTGCCCTCTGCACTAGAAATGTCATTTGTAATTATCCTAGAATACTAATTACCACAGTTAGAAAGACTACTTAATATAATAATTCAGGGGCTTTATTTTCATCAGCAAATGATAAACTGAATGTTGAGGTCATAAAACTCAAACTAATAATGTTTTCTGCTACTTTTTGGTTCCACAAAAGTGAAACTCAAAAGGAGAAAAGAATTCTCTCTTTCCTGGTCTCTCACCAAGAAATCTGTCTAATTAATCCTAGGTATTTTATCTAAAAGTGGTAAGTCACAAAGCATTCACATTTCTTTTATTACCGAAATCTCTTAAGTCAGACTTTCTTTAATATTATGTTAGTAAACTGTGACTCCTAGGATCTATTAAATTGCAAACCATAAATTTTACAGACATAATTTGATGTATACCATGAAAGATTTATTAGCCTGAAAAAATTTTCTTAGATTACTTCTAACAAAACATATGAGGACTACAATCTTCTTAACTCTTTCTCGAGTCCAATTCTAATCACGTATGTCTCAATGAACCAATTCTTCCAATATGTTAATTTCATCATAATTTAGGTCTTAGTTACTTGACTAGCTATGAGTATGGACATATTAACACTGCTAATACTCACCATAAGCTCGGGGTATGTAGGCCGTTCTTTGGAATTCTTCTTCAAGCTTAAAGGGGAAAAAATAATCAAATTAACTCTAGAAATCATTTTTTCACTAAACTAGGACTTTAATACCTGAAAAAGAGCGACTATAACCAGTTTTTTAAAAAGTATTGAAAACATAGGCTTCCTGTCTTGACCTTCTGCTTCTGTTACTAATGATGTTTTAAATCATTCTGGGTATAACTCAGTATTAAAATAAATGTGTGTGTGTGTGTGTGTGTGTGTGTGTGTGTGTGTGTGTGTGTCTACTATCTTTGGATACAGACTATCTTTTCTATTTCATAGCCACTATATTTTCAAACATATATCTACTTTCCTTTAGGGCAACTTTCAATCCTACCTTCACTGGCAAAGAAACTGGCAAGTGTTTCTCATAATACGTTTGTTATCTTTTCACTGTTTTCAACTACTCCATTCTTTCTTCTAGTTCTCTTAAATGTATAATTTACTTTTATGTATTCCTCACCAAACCTGCCTGAGATAGAAGCAATCAGCCAAGAAGTTTCTAAGGTAACACTATTTGTTTACTACATTTTAGTGACAAAAGAGAAAGCATACCCAGTCAAAGACTGAGCAATTACTCTTCCTAGAAATACTGTATGGTCCTGCCCTACTGTCAAGTAGACGCCGGTTAGTTAGCTCTCTGTTTACACATACATTCAATAACATTCGATACCAGAGGAAACAGTAAAATAATTTGCAAGGTAAATAAATCAAACCACCCTTACCCTCTATCCATCCCAGTCTTAAAATGGAAAAAAAAAAAGAAAGAAAGAAATAGTTTATTTGCAGTTGGAGTCACAGATTATAAAATGAAGAAAAAGATGAATTTTCAAAACTATGATTCAAAAAGCAACATACAGTCTCCAGTACCACTAGGCCAAAAAAAAAATTATATATGAATGGAAAGGAATTTTGTCTGGAGTTGAAGGAATCAAAATGTGACTCATAATTAGGTTACTGGGATTTATGCTAATGGGTCATTTTGAGCAAATGAGACTTCCTATGTGTAGCATGAACTCTGCTCCCCCTACAAAAGCTGATTAGAATGATGGGACAAAGTGTAGAGTCATAAGAGAGAGAAGTCACTGAGATACTGTGAAGAACTATGATTTAAAACAAAGCAAAATGGGAAAAAACAAGAAAAGGAAAGATTTTGAACCAAAACAACTTAAAAGTAGCCTACCAGTTTATTCCAGGTAATGCTGTGGGTAGAAGCCAAGGAACCTGACACAGGGTAACAGGAAGATGTGAGGACAGAAGTCTCAACCTGGAATTGAGGGCAGACCTAGGACCTAGGGACCTCAGTGACCAGACAACCTATGAGAGAAAGTTTCATCTCAACTGAGGATAAAAATAAGAGTGCATTAGATAGAGGAATGATCAAGGGTCAAGTCAGGTTGACATGGGGATGTGTGCCTCAGTGAAATGAATGAGACTTTATAATGCCCACATATGGCTCTGCATGTACATGTTTCCTGGTGTTCAGTTGAAGGTGATTTTCCCCTAGGGGACATTAGGCAATACCTGGGGGCATTCTGGGTTGTATGACTAGTGACAGGTATATTGACATCCAGGATGTCCTGGTAGAGGGATTTTGCTAAACATCCTTTTAGGCAGAGGGTGGTCCTCCCCAGAAAAAAACTATTGAATTCCAAATGTTATTAGTACAGAGATCAAGGAACCCTGGAGTGTGAGTCCTAGGCTGTCCTTCCTTGTTCCCAGCTCCTATCTCCTTCTCTGAGATAGGATTCAGTTAAAAGCCACTTCCCGTTACTTGGGCACATTCTCATTACTATTATCTTCTCCCTCCTTTCTCCTCTCTACCACCATCCCTAGCATAAACCATTTTTCTGAGTCCAGGAGCTAGTTCACCTAGAAAGAAACACAGAGGAACAAATGTGATCCTTGAGCACTGCTGGTTTGCACATAATCCTAGCATAGATAAAGAATGTGCAAAAGCCCTATATTTCCAGCTACTGCTCAAAGCAAATCAAAATCTTATCAGTTGAACAGTTTTACTTACTAAAACAGTAACAGCAAAACAAAGACAACATTAAATCCATACTCGGTAGTCAAGGGGTGGACTGTGGGTGCTGCAGTTTAGACAACTGCACTGAATCTAAGACAAGCTCATACACATCTCAGCATGCTTCACCACCAACAACAAAACAGAGGGAAGGATTAACCAGTGTTAGAACCATCACCTCATTTACTAACCAGGGGTCTCTGTGATACTGATAATGTTTTACTTTGTATTCAATACATAATAAAATGACTTCACAAAATGACTCTTCTCAACAGGCAGATGGGTTTGAAGGATTCCATTTCTAAGTAGAGGTGATTCCTCCCTGCAGGTTGTCTTATCTTTTCACAGTTTATAAAAAATATTTCAAGATTTTTTTCTTTATTTCAAAAAAAGGGTAAAACCACTCAAGCTGATCCATAATGCAGTGGTTAAGATTCTGGAAACTTCAGAGACTGCTAGCAAATAGGTCACTTCTTGACTTATGTCCTCTTGGGAGAAAGCTCAAAGTTCACCCCCAAGCTCTACTACTGAGTAATATTGAAAAATATTTACAAAGCAAAGCAAGGGTGTTTACTGAATTAATGTAATTGATATAACCATTTTTCCCCACCTTTTAAAACAAGAACACTTCAAAACACATGCTAAGAAGAGCAAAATACCCAGGATAAGGTTTGAGGGGGGGAAAAAAGCAATTTTTCACATTTAATAGGGAGTGCCTGAAATTCAGTATGAAGTAACAACTGTAGAGTTCAAAGCAACATCAATTTCCTTTTGGCTTTAAGTCAGACTTGAATTTTCAAATGGCCTGTCATTTTCAAGTGTACAATTAGCTAACTGCCCTAATTCCTCCTCCAAATGCCACAATACACACTTCTGACCATAGCTGACACATCTCCATGCTGTCTTGAGAATTGCTGGCTTCAAGTTTGTGCTGGCCAAGATGATTTCTGCCTATTTGAATTCCCCCAATGGTTTCCAAGAAGGGCTGTTTGTTGCATCAACAGAATAAAAGCATGGTGGGCCTCTCAAGTCATACATTTGTCAAAAGCTAAACAAATATCAAGCGCCTCTCTTTTACTGTCCTTCATGAACAAATAGGAGGCTATATTTGACTGTCTCTGTTTTATGCTAGTTATTCTGAGTCAGACAGTATCGACATCTGGATGGGCCGCCAACGTGCTCTCCTATGCCAGCAGGCTGGTCAGCCAAGCACTCAGTCTCTGAATTAGGTCTGGAGGAAGAGTAAAAATGAGTCTGGCTATTTTAGCAGTGGGCAGTTGATTTTCAGTGACTTCCTTTTGTCAACCCATAGGCAGAAGTATAAGCTTGACAAGATTCCTTTTTTTTTTTTTTAATAAACTCATTCACTAACCCTTCTCAGAACTCCATTATAGGGCTTTTCTATGAGATTTTTGCTATTATTAATCTCAAAACAAGGCCTCTGTGGGCAATGTGATCCATGTTAGGAACTCTTTAAAATCTCTATGTTAAGAAAACTACCTTGGGGAGGGGAAAAGAAGAAACAATATCACTCCATAGTCTTATTTGGAAGTTAGTACAGAAAGAATGGGTTTATAAGGAGTTATTGATTCTTTTTTCTTCATGTTCCTAAGAATATACACACAAACTTCCCTTTCTTTTTCCTAAGATGATGTTTCTCTGACATTACCACAAGAGAAATAGAGCAGCAGAAGAAATGGAAGTCTGTACTCTGAAGCCACCTTTGGTTGTGATGTGATGATGATGCCTGTAAGTGCTTTGTATCATGACTTCCTGTCTCCTGGAGACAGCAATCTGCACTGAGAGGCCAGAGGACAGAGACTACCCAGTGACCGCCAGGCTGCAGGCATGCAGTCCTTTAGCAGCATTGTGACTCTAGCAGATGCGTACAGACAGTGCATCCCACAGAGGAGCACAAATACTCTGGCAGCTTCCCTATGCAGTGAACAGTGTGCCCTTCTTCTACACTTAGCCCAAAGACAGACTAGGAGATAAATACATAGGTGTGTATACCTTAAAATTTGCTATTAAATATTTCAGTTTCCAAAACTCTAGCTCCCTTTCACCCCTTATCACCAAGAGCTGGTGAATTGTGAACTGTGAACTGTGAGAATTCTAAAAGGATCCTTCCTGTGTCATTAAAGTATAACACAACAATCACTCAAAAAGGGGCTTTGTATAAAAATGTGTCTCAACATTATAGTTTTACACAGGTGGGATCAAAATAAAAGTCAAATATTTAAATTTTAAAAATTTGTTACCGTGGAAGACACATGGCCGTTAATTCCCCTCAAAATACTCCCCAGCATGTATCCAATCCCTTTTGCCACTTTCCAAAGCAGAAGTGGAAGTTCTCTTTTGCAAGTATCTTTTAGCAGTGTGATCAAAAATATGGTAATCAAAAAATATGGGAAAAACATTATACTGTATTCTCACCCACATTACTCACCGGATTGACACTGTATGATTCTTGTCTCTTCTTGAAAGTCAAAATGACTATAAAACTTAACAGTGTTGAATCAGTTCAGCACATGGGAGCAGTCATGACAGCATAAGTAAAGACATGAAGGAGGACTCCAGAACTGCTTCAGAAAGTGCCAAGTACAATGCGATAACGGTGTGTGAGCTGAGAGGGGGATATTCTGGGGGGGGGGGTGTTTGCAATGTATCTTTTAGCATAATAAATTTTTAACACTCACCCTATATGTAAGTCTTACCTCAAAAAGGAAAATAGAAAAAGAGCCAATAAAGAGTTACATCTTATGCCTGACACTATTTTTCATCAATAAATAAGTGTTCTTTGGTAACAATCATTCTTTCCACTCCATTCCAGACCAAATTTGGATGAAGCTCAGTGGTAGAACTCTTGCCTTGCACGCACAAGGTCCTGAGTTGGATCCCCAATACCACCAAAGAAAACACCTTCTATATGCTAATATATATTAAAATGAAACTGTATTCAGAAAGACCCAAATCAGTAGTAAGAGCTAAAATGAAAGTATAATCTTCCACCCAGTTGGCTTCAAAGAAAATACATTAGTTATTTATGGCAGGCAAAGAAGTTACTGATCTGGGACCTAAACAAGAGTGGCTGTCCTCCCTTGAGCCAAACTGAGGATAAGAATGCTCGTGAGATTGAACAGTGATGTTTGTCAGCTATTTTCCAATTCCCAAACCAACAAAAACGACTCAATATTCTACAAAACAGATATCCTCAACTATCAGATTCTACCAGACTCATAGTACTGAAATTCTGAAGAAGAAAAATATATGATTTCTGTCATACACTGATGGTGCCTAAATGGAAGGATTTTTGTTTCTACTGTTGTTTCTATTAAGCCCCATAAGCAAGATAAACAGATTCCTAAACACTTCTGTGATGAAATGACATGGAAGTAACAGGGTGAGCAGAAATCACAACTACAGAACCTACAACACACCTACAGCTCGGAATATTTAAATGAAGTGAGCTACAGTAGCTCAGAAAAAGTGGGAGATCTTAGAGGGACAGCGCAAAGAGACCATGACATGAATACAGGAGGGCAGGCACAGTGAGGGCGCCTAGAAGGAACAATACTACCAGAATCAAGAATTTCCACACGTGTGTGCATATGCTAACAGGAGAAAACATCTCTGCTGCTGTCATTGCAGGGAGGGAGTTCATTGTTTGTTTGTTTTTGTGCTGGGATCTAAATCCAGTGACTTATAAACGCAACTCAGATGCTCTACCACTGAGACACCCCTCTGGCCTGAAGTCTCCATTTTTTAAATTTTTGTAAGTATTTCAGTGCTGTGATACTTTGGCAAAATTTTAAGTGAGAGAAAATTGCACTGGTAAAGGAAAAATGAAGTAATTGAATGATATTTTTCAACAGCAAAAGGTCAGAAACATGAACAGTTGGCATTAGGTTCACAGATCTTCTGTCTAAATCCATGCTCTCATGAAGCATGTTAAAACGGGCATTAGAAGCACAGCAGGATAATTTGAGAATATTTGAAAAATCCTGAAAATTCTGGCCTCCTGTTGAACCAACTAAACTCAAGTCATTCAGGGAGTGAGGGTGAGATATCTTCTCAGAGACAGTATGTTTGCAGGCTTGCTAGAGATTTATGAATGAGCAGCCAGAATTTAATCCACTGGATTTGGATTAAACTTACGATTCACAATAGGAAATTCCACTTTCCTAAAGTTTTTACACTACATTCATTCTCACCGAAGTTTCTTGAAGTAACCAGAACACTGGGAAGAGGGGGGCCAGTAGGAGCAAGGAGACAGGAAGAAGACAGCATATTGAGACCCCCCTCTCAGTGAGATCTTTCTACATTACTTCCTCTCCTGAAAACTACTGGTTTGAAGTATCCAAGATGACTCCCTCCTCTCCCCATGTGACCTTTAAACATTTGAGTATTAGGCAAAAAGAGTCAAACTCAACAACAACAAAAATGGAGTGCTTGACTCCAGAAGCCAAATCAAATTCATGAACCCAGGTCAGCACAGCTGATGTAACACCACATCTACACACTCAGTGGAGGAAAACAGACAGGCACACAACTCAGGATCCCAGAAGATGGATATTTTAGAGACATTCAACAACACTGTAGTAAAGCTTACTGCCACAGCGCTCTTGAGTATTCAGCCAAAAATAAAAAAAAATCCCACCATGGAACAATATCCTAAATCACTAGGAAAAAGTACTAGGATTGAGAAGAGGCACAAGACTCACAAAAAGTCCAAGAAAACTTAGTTTCATAAGCAACAGAGGGCATCTTTGTCTCACCACGTTGCTAATCCAAAGAACGGTGCCATGAAGAAGGTATTACATTATCTGCCATGGCCCTGAGAAGCCTTTGGAGCCCCCAGCCCTTTCACAGTAGTGAGTCGCTGCCTTCTAGTACACAGCTGGGGTTACCACCAGCTCTGACCCCGTACGTCCTCCCAATTACTATGTGTTATAGGGTGCACAGATGAACTAACTCGGTTCCATTTTGTGATTCACACTTGGCATCCACTTTCTACCAGCACTGGCAGTACTCAGTACTACCAAGATACGCTAAACCTCATGATCCCAGTGCAGGCAGACATTATTTCACTGTCTGCAGAACACTTACTTTCCTTCCCCATCTTACTTTCCTCAGGGACCTTGACAGTTCTCTTTTGTTTTAAACAGAGTCTCACTATGCAGTGTAGAGTGGTCTAGAACTTGCTTATGTGGTAGCCCAGGCTAGCCTTGAACTCATAGCAATCCTCTCACCTCAGCCGCTCACGTGCTGAGATTTGGGTGTGTGCCACCACACTAGGTGAGGACTCTGGTAATTCTAAGAAAACAGAGTTAGCTACCTTACTATGTCTCTGATTTGCTTCCTACTCCAAATGTATTTATGCTGTCTTCTCAGACCCCCTGTGTTGTATACTATGTCCTCATGAGCAAGGATATCTTCAGTTACCAAGGGCTCTCTAGAAGATAAAGCCCTGCAAGACTTCTGGTACCTAAGTTGCACTCTTCAACTTCTCACCATCTTCTTACCCAGAGTAATTCTTTAGGTCTATTCCTCATCCTTGGGCTTCCAGCAGACCTTACCACATTTCTCTTTATATTCCAATCAATATCAAATTGCTTACAAATCTTATGGAAGATTTTATTGATTTTTACGACACTCTGGTTTATACTCCTTCTGTTTGGAACAGCTTTCCTCCTCGACTTTCCTTTTTCTTGGAAGACTCCTCTCATAATCTCTGCTCAGAATTTATTATCAGAGAAGTCTGTCTCGATGGGTTTCCTAAGTTTCCCAAATATGCTACACATATCTCCATCCCCAGACTTGCCTCTATTTACTGCACTCTAATAACTGATTCATGCAACACCCTTACTTGACTTGGAGCTCAGCAATGGTGACAGTCATCGCGTTCTGCTTCATAGAAGGTATGTTCCATAAACACTCTCAGAATGAATGAATGTATGCATAATGGATCAAGCCCAGTGGAGGGAATTCATGAGCACACACCCCCTTCCTTAGTACTTACGCATAGGACATGGGGCTGTCTTACCATTGTGAGGTGAAGTCCACAAACTCTGCAGAGAACTTGTCTGCTGGGAGCTGTGGTGATGGCTCCTCTACCACCTGTTTGAGCTGCTGAAAGGGAGTTCCCCACGAATCGTAGGGAAACCGAAGGATGGCCAGCTCAATCTAGAAACAAGAGACAAGGAAGTGACACTTTAAACAAAGCTGCCTGCACGTATCAGCTGTGCTTCATTCTAGACGAACCAAGAAGAAAATACAAAGCTGAAGAAACAAGTGTTATCTGAGGACAAAAATAAACAACTAATTCTTTCTCTAGACATTTTCCCCAAACTACTAGTGCTAGTGGATTTCAAATATTATCTTACTAGAGAGAACCATTTAAACCTGTCTAAAACTCATCCCCTCACCAAAACCCAGCTTAAGACTTCATAAAAATTATAAGCTCGCAGTATTAAACTTCACGGAGGATGTACAGCAACCAGGTTTAAAAGGTTTGGTTTTGAGAAGGATTCATAACCTGACTCTTGCAGTGCTGTACCTCTGCTGCCACCTGCTGGTTACTTGTTGAAATTGAAAATTGGGAGGGAAAAAAAAGTAGCCTAGGACCAGAAAACTACATTTTGCTGGACTTTTGGTCACTTTGTTTCTACAGGACCATGCATTTTCTGGGCAGGATCATGAAATAACTTAAAGGATTTATTGAGCTTCTGTGCCTGAGAAGGAGACAGGGATGCAGATGAAAATTCCACATCTTGGCAATACAATGAAAATGTATGACCATCAAAGTTAGGAATCACTGATCACATACCTGTGGTAGCTGTGCCTAAGGAAACTGCCCTTATTTTTTTATCATGTCTTTAGGATATACTTGACCTCGGTATCTAAGGCTTCTATAATAAAAACATCTTGGGAAGCACACTGCACTTTCTGGACCACATAGTCCCATCAGGCACATGAGCTTTCTTCATGAAGTTTAAGCTCCTTGCCCTAACAAGAACAATGTAGTCTAAATTGTAATGAGTCTAGGGAGATCCTCTCAGAATGGCTGTATGCATAATGGGTCAAACCCAACAGAAAGGGTTCTTGAGAACAAACACATCACTTCCTTACACTGGCACATAGGAAATGGGCTCTCCCTAGATTAGGACAGAAAGATAATTCATGCTACTACACCAGTTACTCAAGGGCATACAGCTCATATGAAGCAGAAAAAATGGAGCAGTATTAGTTTTCCCAATCCAAATTTAACGTTTCTACTACTCACACTGAAAATAATTTGCACTCAAAACCTGCCATCTTGGGCAGAAAACGATTCCCAAAACTAGCATTTAAAACATCTGCTTTTTGGTCCTATGGCCCACCCCATTCCAGCTGCATGGTGAGAACCTCATAATCACAGGATCATCATACTCTACCATAGTGATGCCCAGACTCCAAATGTCAGACTTCACACTGTATCCCTTCTGGTTGAGCTCTGGATTTATTCTTTCAGGCTGGAAAGGAGACAGACAACTGAGAAACTGGAAACACAATTGAGATGATATTGGTAGCTCAATAAAGATTGTGGGAACAGGGACATTACCATCTGCCAAGTGAAATATTTTAAGTTGTTAACATGCCTCCCAGGCCAAAAGACAATGCAACTATAATAAATAGTAAATCTCCATGGGTTGGTTTGTTGTGGTTGTTTTGTCTTCTAAGTTCATCTTTTCTTAGAGAAAGTAATGGCTTAAATTCCCTTTACAATAAATTTTAATTTTAATTTTGTTGTGAAAAAGAAAGAGTATACATATTATAAAGCTACTCTAGCCATCTAAAATTATCCTTGACAAAAACACCAACAGTCCAGGCTCAGTAAGAACAATCTAAAAGGTAGTTACTAGGCTACCATCTGATATTCCTAGAACTAAGCAACTTTGAGCTAAACATAGTTAGGAAGCTTTTCATTTCCAAATGTAAGTCCATTTCCAAATAAAACATGGTACAAGTTCCATGTTTCCAAGGTCTCTGCTAATGCCAATGAATGAATGAATCTTCAGAGCTATGGGGTTCCCTCAGGACTAACTCAACTATCTTGTGCAGGTAATTTAAATTGTTTATTACTCTGCCTCAACTAACAAGACAGCACTCACCTGAAACTCAGGGTAGAAAGCTTTATGCTCAAGCAAAACACCCTTTTAGTTTGATTTTTTAAAAATATATATGCTATATATGTTTGCATTACCCAAACTGCATATATTGAAATCCAATCACTATATGGCCAGAATAGAAAGTGGAGCCTCTTTTTTGTGGTAATTAGTCTTCAGGGTAGAGCTCTTTTGAATAGGGTTATGACTTTATAAAAGATCCTCTATGCCTCCCACTATGTGAAACACAACAAGAATGTACCATTTAAGAACTAGAGAAATGAGCCCTTTCCACCAAACACTGACTCTACCAGTGTTAGATCTTGGTCTTCCCAGCCTCCAAAATGCCAAAATAAATAAGTAAGTTAATGGTATTTTGCTACAGCAGCCCAAAAGAACAACAACAAAAAAAATATGAAACAAGTGACCAAGGATCTCAGACAGGAAATATGTGAGAATATAAAGTGCTGCAGAGTATTTTCTTAGGTCTTAGGCACATTCCAATTTTCTATCTACATTCATCTGTTTCTTATTTCACAACCTGGTTTTGCAGACAGGTGTGTTTTGAGATGCCACCCCTGGCTGCTATACTTACGGCCATGTATGGTTTGCAACCTGCATCAATTGTTTTAGCAACAGAGTCCACCAGGTAGCCACTGATTCCAAAGTCACACATCTTCACTTGGCCCAGGGTATTAATTAGCACATTCGAAGGCTTGACGTCTAAAAGGAAGCACAACCGGGATCCTCTCAGTCCAGCCTGCTTTGAAGATCCATTTCTCTACCACCAGAAGGCCTGAAATCGCCACTTGTCCTTTTCTTTCCTCAAACTGTTCTACACAAAGTAACCATGCTCCTTGACTCCCAGTTACCTGCTGCTGACAGCTTTCAACTGCATTTCTCTTTTTCATGTTTTGTTTGTGCCTGGGGAATGCCAATCCTCAAATGAAAAGCACTGTTTCCTCTACTTATTCAATCATTGTTGCTCCCATTTATGTAGTAACGACCTTACTGAGTCAAATGCCCAGTTCAAAATGATCTATGGCTTATTTAATGTGGAAGTAAGAGACTGAAGAACAAATGGCATTGTAACGCAGTGATACATCAAATATGGTCAAAGCAGCAAACTTTGATAGCAACCTTCATTAGAGATGTATCAGTGGTTACCATGATGTAAAGTGTTACAAACCCAAGGATGCCAGACCATAGGGCAGGTCATGAAAGAAGAGGTATTAATGTTTTTGATCAGCTCTAAAGACTAAAATGATAGCACCCACCTACTCATATGCCCACAAGGATAAACCACTATCATCTCTGGATTATAGAATTAACAAATGGAGGTCAGTTTTTCCCTTTGTGACTCTTTCATCAAAGACACAAGATAAGAAGAAAAAATCTAACCTAAGAGCTTTACAATTATCCTTTATAATTTTTCTCTTAAATTTGTTGATATACTCATTTTAGTTTGCTGGTTTTTATATATGACATCTTTTTCAAGAATTTAGTACTTCATAATTTTTAAGAGTTTTTTAAAAACAATAAAAAACTTTAATAAAAATTAAGTTTATTCTTAAAAAGTTGCATATTTGTAAGAATTTCATATTCTGCTGGGGATTTAGCTCAGTGGCATAAGCACCTGCCTTGCAAGCAGGCAGTGGTGAGTTCGATCCCTGGTACCGATAAAAAGGAAAAAGACAAAAAAAAAAAAAGAATTTCATATTCTTTGTCCCAATTAGGGTCCTTCTCACTTTCTTATCGTCATTTTCATTTTTCTAATATTTAACACTACCAACTAATATTAATAATACTAGGCATACTGTACAAGGCATTTTGCACTAGACTGAGGCTCACAAATTACCCAAATTGTAATGACATGTTTATAATCAATACTTTGTATTAGTCACCCCAAAGGTGTGGCTAGTGTACCTCTTCCAAGAAGCTTTGCCTGACAATGGTCTTTCAGTAACAATCAATTCTCTATTTTGCATTCTATGTATAGTACTTTCATATTTGATAATTTCCTATTTATAAGATTTTTTCATAGTTTTTATTTCCCAATAAAGAATCCCTATGTAAAATTTTAATAAGAATAATTTTCTCAGATAAAATCTCAAAACATCTATTATAATACCACACTTGAAATGCTTTAAAAGTAATTATAAGAGGTATATGGTAGGAGGAGTAGATGGACACAGAGCAGGATGAATGTGAGGATAGATGAGTGGCTGAAGAGAAAATAGGTCAAGAATAAAGAAGGGAAGGAGAGAAAAAAAAAGAAAAGGCAAATTATTCTCTGCAGCTTCCCACAGTATGAAAGGGTTTTGCTTTATTCTAAAGCTGGCCACACTTCAATGGGCACAAAAATCACCTGGGGATCTTGTTAAAATGTAGGTTTTGATTTATCTAATGATTACACTCCTCTAAAAAGCTACTACATGACGGCCAATACAAGATGAACTTTTATCATATCCTCTACAACTATCAATAATATCATCCCACAGCTGTGTTTGGTGACAGGCATTTTATACTGAATTTAGGTATCATATAAAGCCCATATCTTCTTATTTCCTCATCCAAGATAAAGAATAGCTATTGCTATAGTTTGGTTCTTTCTCTCTCTCTCTCTCTCTCTCAATCTCTCTCTCTCTCTCTCTCTCTGTGTGTGTGTGTGTGTGTGTGTGTGTGTGTAACTGAAAATAGAACTCAGGACGCTGAGCTACATCCCCAGCCGCCGCATTTGTTTGATTGCGACAGAGTCTAACTACATTGCTCAGACTGGGCTCCGTTATGACGTTCCTGCTTCATCTTCCCAGAGCACTGTAATTACAGGTGCATGCCATCATGTCTGGCCAATTTAGACCTTAAGTGTACAACGAAGGCAGCTTGGCACTACTGGAATGTGATGGAAATGTTAAGAAGCAGGGTCAAGTAGGAGGTATTAGGTCACTGAAGGAGTGTCCTTCAAGAGAGGGTGCTGGTCTCTTCCTCTGTCTCTCATTCCCTGCTAGTAGGTAAATGGGCCTCCTATGCCACATACCCCTGCCATGATATGCTATTAGGTAAATGGGCCTCCTATGCCACACACCCCTGCCATGATATACTGTATTGCCACAGCTCAAAAAGCAACAGAGCCAATAAGCCATGGTCTGAAACTGCCAAAACTCTGAGCCAAAATAAGCCTTTCTTCTTTATAAGTTGATTATAGCAAGTATTTTTTCATAGTAGCGGAATGCTAACACAGCTACTTACATGGTTTGCTATGCAGTCCCAAAGGAAAGCTCCTGGGTTCTCTCACCTGGCTCATTTCCACTTCCATCTATGCAAGGGAGTGGGAGTGAGGGAGGGAGTCTCCAGGCCAAAGAAATAAACTTATAAAAAGCTACCAACCATGGATGCTTACCCCGATGAATGACAGAGAGCTTACTGTGTAAATGTTCTAGTGCTTTTACAATCTGTAAGAAAAAAAGCAAAGTAGATTCATTTACTCCATCACAGAAAAGAATGATAAGTATATTTGGGTTTATTACCCCTAGCTTAAGGTCACAAGGTAAAGTGTTTTTGCAGCATTGAGGTTCCTATCCAGGGAAATAACACAAAAAGTTACCTAAACTGATCTCCACCCACCAAAGAGGACTGTATCTCAGAGCAGAGTCAATGTCCTATTCATCTATCTTGTTTATGTTTGATCTCAAGAGTTTTTTCTCTTCAATCTCATAACCTCATTAAGGCACTAAGGTAGCAGTCATTCTTGTTTTCTTTCTCCTGATTTCTTCTATGCCTGTTAGTCTTAAGAAATCATTTGAAAAACCTACAAGTCAAAATTGAAATGCAGTATGGGCATCAGAATACAGATGCTGGGAATGCGGTCATTACAAATCAATGAACTGCTTAAATATATTTAACGTAGAGTCTACCAAACCAAGTCACTTCCACAGAGGGCTCAAGAGAAAATGATATTTATTTATCCACCTGACAATGTACTCTTATATTAAACAGACACGTGCAGGATGGCACATATGGTGCAAGGAACGTTTCTTCCCACTAGGGATACAAAGACACCTACAGCACTAATTTTCCCATTTTCCTTGTAGTTACATGATATACTCACAGAAACTGCTATCTTCCCTAGGATATCCTCTGGAATTGTTTGGCCTTTATCAATAACTTGTTTGTAGAATTTATCTAGTGACGTATCCATGAGCTCCATGCAGATCCACACATCTCCCTGGAGACCAATCAGTTCACGGATGATTAAAGAGGTTGAAAGAGGGATAGGAAAAAGCCCATTACTGTCTTGAAGAACTGACTCTTGAGGGGTGGGAGGAAATAAGATAGATTTCCTTTGAGATCTCAAAGGAATTTATCAATCAGCAAGGTTATCTCCAAAGAGCAAATCAACAGGTATCAATGGGATAAAAGAACCTTCAGTTACTGTTCTCCTTGAACTCTGCACCAGAGGGTCACTTACCTCCCGGAAAAGTGCACCATAGAACGTGACAGTAAATGGACAGTCTACTGTTCTCATGGAGACATCCAAATCCATCAATAGCCTTTTCTGCTCCTGGCTATTCACAGTGGCCCGGATCCGCTGAATGGGAAAGCACAAGAAATTTATGGGTACTACTCTGAGGATGAGTCTGCCAATAAAGCAGGGCTTCAAAGAGCCCCACTCTGAAAACAATACAAAAATTCGCAATGGCTAGCACCTTTCACAAATCAGTGCTATAAGGGGGACTGAAAAATACAGTGAATAAATAAAATTATTACAGTACAAGACACAATGCTAAAAAACAAAGGGATAAGTATGTCCAAAGCAAGGAGGCATATTTTGAGTATTGTAAGGATTAATGGAAATGTGTCTTTTACGATAGTTATTTTTAAAAATGTAAACCTTAACTGTTTTTTATGATCATCCCACATTGATTAAATACAGCACTTTCTGCCAAATAAAAACATTACAGTGTGTCCTCATCCATCTTATTTACTGCATCTGGCACTGTGCAACTTCTGGCTCCTCTCCAGAGTCAAAATGACCATGAAATGTTTTTAATCGATTCGGGCTAGGATGATGCAACTAAAGACATTCACGAAAGAGGACTTTTAGAACTGCTTTGGAAAGTCTCAAGAACGATGGGATAAGTATGTTTAAAATGAGGGGGGTGCATATTGAAGGGGATTAATAGCAATACATCTCTTACTGTAATTTTTAAAATTTTAAATATTCATCATATTTTTGGATCACATACAATAGTAACAAATTTAAAATAAGAAAGACTATGGCCATGTAATATACTAAATAGTCCCTAGTAAGAAGAAAACTAATAGTTTGCTTTAGAGAGTAAGGAAATGTTTGGGAATGTATTTCCAAGGTGCAAAAACATCTGCTTTACTTTATCATACCTGCTTGGTGCAAAGAAGTCACAGTATTAATTACTTTACAGCTTATTTGGGGTCTTAAAGGGAAAAAAGTCAGAAACCCCTCTTTAGGAACAATTAGGACTACAGTGAAACACCTGTATCCCTGGGCATTATTTCCAGAATTTGCCCCTCATCCCCAGATACCAAAATCCATGGATTCTCAAGTCTCATATAAAATGACTTTGTATTTGCACATAACCTATGCATTATCTCCCCATACACATTAAATCAGATCACTTATATTATGCAGTATATTATAAATCCCATGGAAATACCTGTTACATTGTATTGTTTAATGACAAAAATGCTGTACATGTTAAGCATAATTCTTTCCAAACATTTTTAACCCACAGCCAGCTGAGTCTACAGATGTGGACCCCATGGATATGCAGAGCAATGGAACTGAGGAACAGCAACTGTAATAAAACTGGTACAGCTGGAGGGCTTAGCAGGAATCAAACAAATGGAGTAACCATTCATTTTTACTGAGTGTTTCTGAGTGAAGCAAAACCTGTCACAACAGCAAATCACCTTCTAGAAAGGTGATTGTGTCATCAACTGACAAGAAATACATACATGCTTTGCTATTTAGCAGAGTTAACAGAACAGACTGGAAAAATCTCTAAGAGAAAAGGAACAGACCTCCATTCTCCAACAAAGGGACCCACGTTTCTGGCCATTCCTAACAAGGTCCCAGCTCTGCTAACTCATCTCAAGATGTTAATTCTCTAAGATCCTTCTAGCATCTACTCAAGAAATGCAGACCGATTCCAGACTTCTGTTCACAGACCAAAAACCTTCAGTTTACTCTCGATGTCTCCTTTTTCCAGAACAATTTTCTCTTTCAACTCTGGCCACTTGCTTTTCAAGGAGAATTCTTTACACACAATACTAGCCAAAAGGCTGAGATGTGATTCAGGGAGAATAACAGCAAAAAAATATATAGATAACAACACTGAGCAAATTAGAAAATTTTAATTTAAATCCAATATCAGATGAACTTCAAAAACATATTACCAGTTCTATTAAGTATGATGATGACATGGTAGTTGCACAAAAAATGAAAATGGAGGGATAGAACTTAGTTAGAAAACACATACAAACCCAGACACGCTTCACACACCTGTAATCCCAGCACTCTGGGAGGCTGAGACAGGAGGATGGTAAGTTCAAGTCCAGTCTGGGCAACTTACTGACTTAGGGCGATGCTGTCTCAAATTTTTTAAAAAGGACTGGGAATGTAGTGCAGTGCAAAGGTCCTGGCTATAATTTTTGGTACCACTGAGTGAATGAATGAATGAATGAAGCAACACATTCCAAGGAAGCATTTTTCACCCATTTAGAGAGAAATACTATTCCCTGCAAATACTCTTTTCTTTTTCACCCAATCAAAGACTGTTTTGCTCCTATGAAGAGCGATGATTTGGAACAGAAGTGGACAAATGTGCACACCATGGACAGGAAACTTTGGGGAAACATCAACTCTACCTTCACTGCCATGATCTGCTCACTGGGTACATGCCGCATCTTCTCCACCACTCCATATGCACCTCGTCCCAGCTCCACTATTGGCTCCAGATCATCTGCCTTCACCTCAAAGTTCTGCCAAAAAAAAAAGTCATCGTGTGATTAAAAAAGCAAAAAGTAAATCAGACACTAGCTATCTTGTCCTTTATTTGATGTCTCCAAATGTTATAAGGATTCTTAATAGGCCACAAGATTTTCTTGCACATGAAAGCAACTACTAAAAGCATGAAGCCACAGGAAAAGATTTGACTATCACAGGACCCACTTGCTTGGCACAGGTGACAAACAGAGCCAACTCCATCCAATCCGGTTCTCAAGTGACAGCTCAGCTGCAGCTGATGACATTGCAGTTCCTTAGCCATGCCCCCTTAATTACCCTTATAATCTATGACTGTCTGCTGGCAGCTATATCTCTTTGGCTGTGAGAATTGCCCTCTCAAGAGAATCATCAACTCTCCTCACACGTTTCCAGAGAATCACAACGCCTGATTTCAATTCGCAATTCAAAACAGCAAAAACACTGTAAGCCATTTTGCTTGAATTTCAAAACTTTTCTGACCCATCCCCTGAGAGCATGTTACACAGACAAAAACTTTTGCATAGCCAGCCAGAAAGCATATACATAAAATGGCCAATGTGTTAACTAATTAGCATGACTTTTCTCACCTGGTTTCCAATAGAAATGCAAGCCTTGGAGTCTAAATCTCTAGGTGGCCTAAGAAAGATGAAGGTGAGAAGAAGAAACATGAGATATTCAGTCCATTATCCTTCCCAAATTATATGTAACAGGAGAGGTTTTCCTAAAGAAGGAGGAAAGTGAATTAGTCAAATAGGATAAATGGCAGTACAATGGAATGGGTCAGAATTAAAATACCTTTTGAGTTGAAAATACTTCAACTCTTTGAGCCTCCATTTTCTTTTTTAACGTGGAATATTTTTACTAACTTCTGGAGGAAGAGTGTACTAAATGAAGTACTCCAAGTACAATGCTTTGCATAATGTTTGACATACAGTAAATATCTAATATATAGGAGCTGTAAGTGTACAGTTGTATAAGTATTATGCTATGGAAATAAGTCTTTTCTTCCATCTAAGGCCACCAATGTATCCAATCATTTCTCCACCCTTTCCATAACTGTTTTTTTTTTTAAGAAATAACTCACAAAATTCATAGAACATAGGAATTCCTAATGTAGTCTCTCCCTTTAAAGATGGACAGAAAGATTCAGAGAGGTGAAAGGCTTGGCCCGTAACAAAGAACTACTGACTTTCCATCTCAGCATCCTTAGACAGCATACCAGACTGTCTAATCAAGTCCAGCCCTTTACATCATGAACACACTCTTTAGTGACCTTCTCAGAAACCAAAGGTTTCTTCATTGTGTGTCTCCACCGTCTCCTTGTGTTTTTATTTCTATTATTTCAATAACCTCTCAGTCAGTAGCAATTGATTTTGGAGAACAATGTTTAGCTTTGCCTATGCACCTAACTAGGAGTCTAGGAACCTATTTTTTTAATAAATGTACCAAAAGTATTACAATAAAAGTAACAAATGCTGAGAAATATATTGCTAACATGATCAAACAAACAGAATAATCATGGGCTAAGGACACAGAATCTTGGTTTTGTCTTTCTCAAGTGTGGCCTAATAGGAGCAACTCAAATATCTCTAGAGAGCCATCCTATGGCAGAATTGTCTTTAAAATATACATAGGAAAAAGGAAAGGAGGATAGAGAAAGGGAAGGTAAAAGCAAGAGAAGGAAGACTCATTTGCTAATGCAGTTGTTACCAATGATTATAACTGCACCCCTTCTGTTCACACTAAACATGCATAAAACATTGAGAAAGAAGTAGGAACATAAGCACAAACACAAGCATGAATCTAAGGTTTCAATGGTCAGTCTTCTCTTGCCTCAAAATCTCCCTGATTCGCACAGAATACTTGAAGTTTTTCCATATGAATTTAAAACAGAAGCCTGGGAGCGGGGAGAGAACAAAACAAAACATATTCACATGTGTACATACTCATACTCACACATACACACACACACACACACACACACACACACACACACACACACATAGCGGTGATAGTGACGCTCTTGTGCATCTTGTATTTCTGAGCAGGAAGTTGATCTTCAGAGTTTTCCAAAAAGTCAAATATTTTAGACATCAAATTTTTCATTCTTAAAATGTCTACAGCTGTTTTTCTTTAGTCACCATGATTTGTATTATTACAAAAATCCTTTGAGAAAAAGACAAATACCATTGAAACAGAGGCCTAATGTCAACAATTTAAAACTCCTTTGCAATTCTTCATTACCTCACCTTTTTAAAAGTATGGAAACAGAGAAATACGAGTATGTGGACCCTCAACTCTACAATAAATGTGCATTACACCTTCCATCCCAGCTTAAAAGTAGCAAGGTGTCACTCTCCAGATTGAGAAAAGTAAAATCCTCAAAAAGCTTGTGATTTTCAGAAGCCATACAGTTGTCAGTAGCATTGAAAATAAAACTGAATCTCAGATGACCTAAAGAGAGCAAAGAGGAGAAGAAAATAAGAAAATTGGACAGTGTAATAAACCTGCTCCAGTGATGCCCATTTGAGTCTGAATCAAAGAATTTGCTCCCAATTTCCAGGTCTTCTCTAATAAAGTGATTAATCCAGCCAAGCCTCAGGCCTTTGAGTTCATCAAGTCTACTAAAAGCATCAAATAATGCAGCCAGAACTCACAACTCAGACTGAATTAACTGACATGGGTATTCTTCCTATCCAGAGTTGGACATATTCATTCACCAGGGGCATCAAGACTCTCCAGGAGGTTGAAACTGTGCATGGATACTCTCTGTCAATTACTCTATATTTTAGTCCTTTGAGGAAAGAACTAATCTTATTGCAAAATTCCCTAGAAGACCAAAGGTCACCTACTCCTAGTGTTTTACATGACCAACCAACTTTGGTTTATTATAATTATGTAGTTCACTAGTCACTATTATTATTAATTTATTTAATAGATCTTATTAAGTGCCCACTTGGGCCACAGACTGTGCTAGATCATTTACATTACGTAGCTTCTTTGATTTTAACAACTCTCAGAAGTATTTTTACCTGTTTTACAATGCAAAGAATTGACACTGAAAGAAATTAAACAACTAATGTTCCTTCGAACGGATGATGACACTAGACTTCAGAGCAGCATCAACTTCTCAAGCACAGGAGGAAAAGACGCTGCTTCACTTAGCCATGACCTGTTTGGTCACAGTCTAATAAGTGGCTAAAAATATATATGAGAGTCAGAGGTCCTGAGTTTATCCGCTAGCTCTGCCAGTGAAAAGCTGCCATAATAAACAACTGGAGCTACCATTCCCTGAGCAATGACAATGAACAAGGTACTGAGCTCGATGTTTAATATGGATTATGACATTTAGTCTGCCTAATAGGCACATCGTGTTCATTCCTGTTTTTTAAAAAGGGAAACTAAGGCTTAGTGCAAGTAAGTATATTTGCCTAAGGTATTTAGTGAAGTTTAGATCCCGAATGTAAACGTCAGCATTTTGGCTCCAGAGCTTGAAATCTTCTTATCGAGGAGGTTACACTGAAGGACTCTAGCAAAGCACATGATGACCCTTACATAGCTCTGTTGTTGTACTTGCCAAGTGAGAGTAATAAAAACTACCTCCTGAACCTCTGGTGCAGGTTAAAATGAAATGATACGAGCGTGGAAATGATTTAGAACTAGTTACTACCAATCAAGTGAAGGGACAGCTCAGAAACCTGAGTGGAAAATACACTAGTATCAGCAACTCAAAGAGCTCAAACGGGAGGACCACACACATAGAACTAGAGATAAAGGAGCTCTGTCCCAGGCTATTTACTTTTGTGTAGCATAGCAGAAGGCAGTAAGAATCACCAAGCCAACCTCAAAAGCTTGCCAAGAGAAATATAAAATGTGGAAGCTATTTCTCTACAAGTATAATCTTAAATCTCAGTATTAAAATAAAAACAAGAAGGCGCTGAGCTCAAGAGGTATATTGTACAACAATACAGTGATTTTGCTGGCTTTACAAAGTTACGGAGAAAAGAACATTCAACATATAAAACAGAAACCACTTTTATAGCTGCATAGATTCCTATTCATTTGCTTACACCAAAGAAGGCTTTCAGAAATTTATAAAACACAGAAAGTTAACATGCATTAAGAAAGGGCAAAGCATGTGTTTTTAAGGGAAGGAAAGTTTGGTATTAGGAGATTTATTTTAGAATCAATTTTTTTTCCTTCCCACAGTGCTAAAGATCAAATGCAAAGCTTCATTCATGCTGGGAAAGCACTACACAGTACCACTGAGCTCTACTCTCAGTCTGATAGACTATATTTAAAAGAAAATATAAAAAGATAAGAGCAGAAAGCATTAAACTGAAAACAGGAAAACAATAAAATATATCTGATACTTAAAAAGATTGATAAAACTTACGCGAAACTCACAAAGCTAACAAGAGAGAAAACAAAAATTACCAATATCTGAGGGGGAAAAAACCCAAGATATCACAACACATCCTGTAGCCATTGAAAGCATAATCAAAAAACACTATAACAGCATTACTCTCATAAATTTTATTACTTAGGACAAATGTACCAACCACTCAAAAGTCACATTCTACAAAAAAGCCAACCATGATAAAAAGATAATATAAAAAGACCTGTATCTATTAAAGAATTGTATTTAAAATTAAGTTCTAGAAAACTACCCAGACACATTTCATTTCACTGGGAAATTTTAACAAACATTCAAAGAATTAATACCATTATTTACCAAAAAATTTTAAAAAGGATCACTTACTACTAATTCATTTTTAAGAGGCCAGTATTATCTTAATACTAAAACTAGAAATTAAGGCACAACAGAAATAATGAAACAGCATAGGCCAACATCTCTCATGAACTTTTATATAAGAATCCTTCATGAAATTTTAACAAATCAAATATTACAATATATTTTTAAAACATCTCTCATGAACATTTATATGAACATTTATATGAATATGACAATAGATTTTTAAAATTATATCACAACCAACTGGGATTTATTTGGGGGATATAAAACTGGCTCAATGTTTGAAAATTAATTGATATAATTCACCATATTACTACATGAAAGAGTAAAAACTTTATGATCATATCAATTGATCCAAATAAACACTCATTTATAATAAACACTCATTTATAATAAAAATTCTCAGTCTAGTATGACCAGAGAAGAACTTCTTCAAACATAAAAAAGTCTATATTGACAGCAGACTTCATAGTAAGAGATTGAAGCCAGGCAAGATGGCACATGACTGCAATCAGCACCATTACTTTTCTTGTTGCTGAAACAAAATACCTGACACCCAAAGTTAAAGAGGGAAAGGTTAATTTAGCTCACGGTCTATAGAAGTGTCAGTCCATAATCAGCTGCCTCCAAGGAAGGGTGGCATGGCAAACAAGCATTGCAGAGAAACAATTCATGGCAGGCAGAAGACAGCTAAAGCAAGCAGAGGTACTGAGCTCTTTCTATCCCTTACATCTTATCGAAGCTACCTGCCCTTAGGGTGGGCAGCATAACACCATTAATCCTCATGCCCTTGATCCTATCAATGTACTGTGAATCCTTCCCAGCCTCACACCCTCTATATTTAGCCACCTCTGAAAAAGCCTCACATATGAAAGCATGAGGCTTTGGGGAGACATCTAGATACAAGCCAGAACAATCATTTACAGTTGATCCAAAGAAAATTAATATTTAGATATAAATCTTAATGCTAATATACATGATCTATATACATGAGTTAATATAAAATGCTGATTAAAAAAAAGATAATCTGAAACCTTGAAGAAAATCACCATCTCATTGTTTGGAAGATTCTTTATCAATAACATGTGAGACATAGACAAACTTAGTCTGAAACTTATATGAAAGACAAAGGCCCTTTAAAGAGTCGGCATAATTTTAAAAACATAAAGAACCAAGTTGGAAGAATCACTTTTCCTAATGTTATATATATGTTATATATAATATAGCTATAGTAATCAAGGCAGTGTGATGTTGACATATAAATCAATGGAACAGAGAATCCAAAAATACATCATAACAAATATGCCCAATTGATATTAGACAAAGGAGCAAAAGCAAGTCAGGGGAAAAATGGACAGTTTTCCACAAATTGTACTGGAAGAACTGAAAATCATTGGCAGAAAAATATAAAGCTGAACTAAAGATTCATATGTACTTTGTATAACAATTAGCTCTAAATAGGTCATGGGCTTAAACATAAAACTATAAAATTTCTAGACAAGAATACAGAAAATCTTCAGGACCTAGGACAAGGCAAAAGTTTCCTACCCTGGTTACCAAAAGCACAATCTTTAAGAGGAATAACTGATAAATTGTATTTCAACAAAATTTAAAACTTTTATTCTGTGAAACATCCTGCCTAAAGAATGAAAAACCAAATTATAAGGAGAAAAATATTTTCATATCACATATTTGAAAAAGTCCTTTTGTCTAGAACAGGTAAATTAATTTCCAAAGTTAACAATTCAAAAAATATATAGTTAGAAGTCTAAAGATATGCACAGACATTTCACCAAAGAAAATATGTGGATGAAAAATAAACACCTAAAAACCTATTCTACATAACTAGCCCCTACAAAAATTCAAGTTAAAACAATAGTGTTGTAGCACTATGTATCCGAAAGGTTAAAATGCAAGATAGTGATAACATCACATACTGACAGGGATGCAAAGAAGCTATATCATCTATACACTATTAGTGAGAATAATGGAAAAGACTTTGGCAGTTCTTTCAAAGCTGAAAATAAGGACCTGGGATTTAGCTCAGTCATGTGAAGTGCCTGCCTGGCAAGCGCGAGGTTGTGAGATCGATCCCTGGTATAAAAAAGAAAAAACTGAAAATGGACTTATCTTATAAACAAGCAATTTTACTAGTGGGTATGTATCCCAGATAAACAAAGACTAATTTCCTACAAGAACTTAAATAGAAATGTTCAAAATGGCTTTATTCTTAATACCCTAAAACTGAAAAGCTTCCTTATATAAACTAGTAAACCATACCACAGTACGATACGCAGCTGTAAAGTGGAGTTATTAATAGGCACAAACCCTGAATGAATTTCAAAAGTATGAATGAAAAACCAAAAAACTCAAAATGAGGTGTCATTTATATAACAATCATGAAATAACAAAATGGTAATGGAAAACAGATTGATGTTTGCTGGGCTTTAAGAATGGGGTTGAGGAAGAGGTGGGTGTGACCTTCAGCAGATAAAAGAGTCGCACTGCACATAAAGTTGAGTATACTGACTATAGTAGTAGTTAACCTCAACCAAAACTGATAAATATAATAAGACTATCAGGCAATATAGGTGATAAACTACGTAGAGTTACACATACACAAAGAGCTTGTATGACATAAACAATTCCTGGTGAAATCAAATTCATTTGTGGAATTTGTACCAATATGTGTCCCTTGAATTTTTTTATAATGCACTACAGTTCTGTAACATGTTAACATGGGGTGGGGGTTGTTGGAGACTCCATGGTAAGCGTGGGGGAAGCTTTCTTGTATATTTTTTTTTTTGCAACTTCTGTGAATCTATAATTATTTCCACATAAGAATTTTAAAATAATACCTCATAAAGTCCTCTACCGCTAGCATAGCCAGCCACATGTGTGACTCTAAGTGCTTGAGAAAAGAGATGGGGGAAAAACAATTATTTCACAGTTCACAGGGCCGTAGGATGGGGGAAACCATTGTTCAAAGAATCTTCCCATATCCCCCAGAACAACCTTGAGGGTAGGAATGGTAAGACCTTCCTTTTATAGTTCTACACAAAAAGAACATTCTAACTAAACAGGAGTCCCTCAGCTACCCTCTACATCCCAGGAGACCACCCCCCCCCCACTCTGGCCTGTCCCTGGGAGTTCTTTATTGAGAAATGTCTCTGCGTTACTGCCTGCAAATGCAAAAACCAAGAAACTCCTCTTACAATAGACATGATCCTGTTTACCTGCGCATCTCAACACTAGGGGGTGCAATTTCTGATGAGCTGGATTACCATTAAAATCAAAACCTTTACAAAGGGAGGCACTTTGTAGACATCAATGAAAGTCTTAAAAGCACAAGCTTCCATGGTGATGCCCTTCCTCTGTACTTGTCCTGGCTCACTGATGCCTCTACCGTGATTTGATGCTTTGGAAAAACCACTCATCTCATGCAGATGCTGTGGCTGGTAGTCATGACACTGGCTAGACAGGAAGTACTCTCACTACCCCACATAGAGACAAAGAAACAGAAGACTGCTAGACAGGGTGCGTTCTTCACTAAAACTTGCACGTATGGATCAAAGCTTCAACTAAAAATGGAATGTTCCTTTGCCTCATTTTGCCTTCTGATTATACGAGACAGGATTCAGGGGTCAGGACTTGGGTCTTCACCAAATATGTCTTTCTATCTCAACCTAAATTTTACAACAGTAGCTGTCACAGAGACTTGTTTCTTTATTCAGATTGACAGAGGAAAGCAAGACTGCACATCCTGAAACCTTTCTGAGCTTGGCTAGGCCCCCAGCTCTTAAATGCATGTGACATTTAATTCTTACTCAGCCAATAGTTAGAGACCATCTCCAAAGTTACAATTACAATTATTTCAGAGTTAAGAACAGTGAGTAAATGACTTCTCATTTAAAGGGTTCTCCTTCCCAACAACTTCGTTCAAAGTCAAAGCATTCCTCCCAAAAATGAATCCCCAAGGGAAATCTGTGAAGATATTGATCTTGCCAACTTACGTAGAACTGGTCTGAGGTTGTTCAAATGCTTCTTTTGGAATTTTCAGGCCAGGGTTTCGCTTCTTGCCTGTAGGGAAAGAAATAAGGAAAAAATTAAAGTCTACATCACATCGAGAGAGCAGGAACAAAAACTGAGAGTCTCTATGGGTGTACATCACCATCATCCAGTTCAAATCACCAGGTAGTCTGTGAGTACAAGAACCCAAGCACCAGCCAGCACAGTCATCCCAAATGCAGGTTGGGGTCAAGAATAGCATTTTCATCAGCCTAACTGAAAAATATCCAAGTAAGAATGCCATTTACATTTTTCTAGGAAGACTTACCCTTTCCCCTGCTAAAAATCTGTAACTTAACTTTTCTTTTCTTTCTTTCTTTTTTTTTTTTTTTTTTGTATCAGGAATTGAACTCACAACCTCACGTTTGGCAAAGCAGGCACTTATGCCACTGAGCTAAATCCCTGGCCCTAACTTGTCTTTTCTTTTTCATAATAATTGCAATGACAGATATGATGTTGATTATAGTTTTGGTTTTTATTTCTTCTTAATGTCAGCAAAATGCAGTCACCACTACCTCAGTATCCTACAATCTTTCAAATCTGTCTCTGAACAATTGCTAGAATTAAAAATGAAAGTAGAATAAAAACTGCTTTTCCACCGTCCTGCCTTGCCCCATTTCTCAGTTCATCTGCCAGGAGTTGAAAACCCTAAGAAACGGCTTTACAACATACCAGCTAGAGTACTATTTACATGTATTTGCTCTGCTCCAAGATGGATTAGAGTAGCAGATGGACCCGGGCAAGGAGGTTACCACTTCTTTGGGGGCTAGCTGGGAACATAACCTGATGTGCTCACCCATGAGCTGAAACTACAAGAGAACTTGGCTCAAGTTCTTTTGTTGATGAGTCAAAAAGAACAGACTGAGAAATGCCAAGTCAGGAAGCAGACTGGAAAAAACAACCTTTTTAAGGGTCTGGGACTTTTCTCCCTGTATAGAGAACCTGTGTGTCTTTGCCCTTGGCTGGGGAAACCAAAGCAGAACTGGATAGAAGGTCCACAGCTCTACCTCCTTGTTCATCTCTTCCATGCCTGGAAAGTGAGGACTTCACAGCAAATAGATCCCTGGGTGACATCCTGGGTGGATTCTAAAGTTGCTAAGAAATTTAAAGTCAAGCATATAATCTCCTTGCAGGAAGATGACAGCTGAAAACTTGGGACTTGATCAGCATCACAGAGCCAGCAAGAACCTCACCAGAACCAGAATTCAGGACTCCTGACATCCAAGTTAGAGGCTTTTTACTCATTATTTCAGAATAGTAAGAATACAGACATAGCGAGATTTCCAGTTTGTCCATTCACCAAAGACCGTCAGAATGACTTTTCATCTGTCACTCTATTTCCTCCATTGTAAAATTGAGAAATGACATCGATACTCACCTTATTGGGCTGACATGAAAATCAAATCAGACCATGAATAATAAAAGACCCTGAGATGCCATAAAGAGCTCTTGCTTACAATCATATGGACAATCAGCAAAGTCAGTTTCTCTCCCCCTTTCTGTCTTCACCCTCTCTCTCCTCTTTGTGTGATCCTAGAGGCTGAACCCAAGGCCTTCACTGAACTATACCTCAGGGTGGTTTTTTTTAAATTTTATTTTGAAATGAGGTCTTGCTAAGTCTTCAAGAAAAATCATTTGAAATTCGTGAGCAAAGTGTGTCATGTTATCAACATCCAGTCCAACATCTGTTTTTTCCATAATCAATTCTATCAAGTTTCATAAAGCCAGAAAAAATGTTTATCCATCAACTCAAAGAAAGCCTTTCAAGAATACCTTTAGATGGCCCAGGATTTAGCTCAGCACAGTAAGTACCTGCTTGGCAAGCACAAGGTCATGAGTTCAATCCCTGGTACCCCCAAAAAACAAAACCCTTTAGTCAAACAGCTTTTCTCAATTCTTTCTTCATTTCAATCTATACATCGTAGAAGATTTAAAACTCATCATTCATCTTCCTGTTCTTGAAACTTATGGCATCAGTTAAGACACTATACACAACTATTAAACACAATGCAATGTCAACTGACAATACAGGGAGCTTTATTACATACTAGAAACTCTGCTAGAAGCCTATCTGGTTGTGAAAATCCAAGTAGACATATAGCCTATTTCCAACAAGTTTTATCTATAGGCCTCAGTCAGAAAGTTAGGGAATGCTATTTCAAATGAAATAGCATAGCAAGGAATGAATGACAGATTCAAATTATTCAAATAACTACACACATAGTCCAGTGCATGTGACAGGTAATTCAGACAATTTCAATGACAAAATTCTATAGTTCTCCTAAATAAAACAAAACTAAAAGCAAACCATTTTGCCTGTGAAAAAAAGTCCCAAATGCTCATTTAAGCAAACCAAAAGCTGAAGTTACTCTTAAAACTTATACCTCTTTCTCTTCTTCATTTACAACTTTTATAAAATGAAAGTAAAAAGAGATATTTACTGAGAAAACCTCCTTTGAAAAACCTGAATAAATATTTATTCTGAAAAAAAGAAAGACAGAGAGAACATACTGGGGGGGGGGGGACGAAGACAAAGAGAGAAAGATTGAGACTGAGTGATTTCTTGGCATGCAAAGCAAAGGAATAAATGACCACAACAATAGTCTCCAAGTGGAGGCAGAAGCCAGTGGTTCTCTCTCCCCTTTATCAGTACACCCAGCCATTCTACCCAAACATCAACACCACTCTTCCCCTGAATTTGCTGTCTATTTAGTGAAACTGCCGGCTACTTTTCTCTAGATTGGATCCCTAACTATACATAAGTTTTAGATTTGCACAGTCTTCAGACTTTTCTTAAATCTAATATTTCAAAGTCTAGCAAACTCTCTAAATCAACAAGGAAAAGACTGCTCCAGGATACACAAAATCTTACTGAAATATAGTTAGAAAATACCCTGTCCTCACTTGAAAAAGCAGATTAAAAAAAAAAAGAGATATTATAAACACATACACACCAACGTTCCAGAATTCACATCCTTAGAAGAGCCAGCAATTCTGATGCAGTTTTGAAGGCTTCAGAGAAAGCCAGCAGAAGAAGAATTCACAGAAGTTATTCTTTCCTTAGTTCTAAAGACCACACACTCCAGCTAGGAGAAACCAACCGGACTAGACTCCACCCCCTCCACCAGTGCAAACTGCAGCAAAACTCTTGGAGTTCATTGTTCCCAGCTCAGCAGGGGAGATAGGAAGTGGGTCCATTTGGATACCCAGGCATGACATTTATCATTAACCAGACTCCGAGAAGTAAATCTATAAAGTAATTCAGCAAATGTTCTCCAGCCTCCCTGTAAATACCCCTTTTATTTCTTAAAAAAAAAAAAAGAATAACAATACATGGTCAGTTTACAGCTGTGTTTAGTTCAGAGCAATCTGTTTCCCCTAGGAAAGCTGCCAACACCTGACGCTAACATTAAACACTAAGTTAAAAAAAAATTAAAGGGGGAGGGAATAATATGAATAATAAAGCTATGTGGCCAACTATATTAAACGATCTTTTCTTTTGATATTTTAAAACAAAAAAATGAAGAAGTCCAAAAATATGCGTTACATTATTATTATGCCACCAATGAGCCCTCTCAGAAAGTAGATTCTGTCTTCCTGCCTCGTTCTTAGTAAAAATCTGCACAGAGGAATCCTTGCTGGCCTGACTGGGCCAGGTAGTGCTATATTACATCAGCCCCTGTGGTACCCAGACATTTTCTCTGAATAGTGTGGTCCCAACACAGATGTGTATTTGCAAAATTCATCGTAAACTAAAGCTGGGTCAGTATAATCCAGGCCTGAAGAAAAATAACATGGGGGCAGCAGGCAGGCTTGCCAATAGTTAGAAAATATTTACTAGGCCACAGAAATGTTCACTAGCTTTGACCATGTGGAAAATTCTGAGTTATGTGAGAGTCTTGCCCAGCACCCACTCACAAAGGGTGAGCACAAAGGGCTCCTCTGATGTGCCTTATTACATAAAGTAGGAGATTGTGCTGCACGGCCCAGCCAGACAGGACAAGGGCCCCACAGGGTCAGCAGAAGGTGGCATCCGAAGGATATGCTGACGCCTAAATAGTTGTCAGTTTGGCTAAGGGCCCGAGAGCAGGATTCTGGGGGTTTACAGCTTCACAAAACGATGGTGGTGCTTCTACTGCCAAATTTATTTTAAAAATCTGTTTCCCAATATGAATGGGCATTTCTAGCCAAGTAACTGGCCACCTAAAAGCCTTGGCTGCCCTCTCCTTTCTACTTGCATCTGGGCTTAAGTTCCAAGTGTAGTTGGCAATGAAACCGGCAGTGCAATGTCATTAGCTCTTATTCAATAGCAATGATCACATGCAAAACAACTAATGAAGCCGGGAAGAGGAACAGGGATGCAGGGAGACAGTTGTCTTTACAGCACCGGTCTGTAAATGGACACGGATATCTTGTCCCCTAACCCGTACCACAGCCACTGGTTGTATGCACCACTGAGAATCCCAGCAGTGTGCCAGCCTCCTGTGGAATTACATGAAGGATAGAGAAGAAAAGCTAAAAAGCTTACTTGACAACCTGCAGTCACTTTGATTTCAAGGAGGCAAAGTGGTATGGAACCTGTGGTAGACAGAACCCTCTCTGATCAAGTGTAGCAGTTGTTTTTTTTTTTTTCTAAACTAAAGCCTCAATATTCAGTTTTAATTGAAGTGGGGTTGCAGTGCAGGCACTCAGACTATAAAAGTTTCATCATTAATGTCTTACGAGCTTACAACGTTCTTCCCTCTGCCAGGGGTGGGGACGTGGGGGGTGTCTCAGCCCCTGTGGATGAGAACTCAATCCTCCAAACTCAGCTCACTGACTAGATACCCCACAGACACTTTCCACAGCACTCTGTAAAACAGGTCCATGCTGTACACTAGCAAAAAGAGCTTTGTTATGTTTGTATTATGCCAAAGTACCTGTAATACCGCCTACTGTTCCTTATGCGGTTTTCCCCCCTCTTGGTGACCTAATTGATATGTTAATCAGTGCTCCCCTCTGTAAAGAATTGT